AAAAGAAGGAAGTAAATCAGATTTTTTCTGTAATAAAAAAAGAATGTTAACATTTACATGAAAGTCAGCGTTACTTCGATTAATAAAAAGACCAAACTATGACTGAAATTTCATCGGTCAGCTTATAATTAAACTATGATTTAACAAAAAAAATGTTTTATCAATGAACACTATAATTTTAACTTCTATTCTCACCAATACTTCACCATATTTATGAAAATAATCGAGTTTCGGATGATCTGAGATGATTAAATGATGTACAACTTTCACTTGATAACTTAGAGCAAAAAGCGAAATTATAAAACACAGGTATGTGTCCATGTCAGTATTTCTACTGATTCATTTAAATATGAAAATTCAATAGACAATCACAGAAATTACCATTCCGTGATAGATTTTCTGCAGAATAATAGTTTCCACATAAATCGAAAAATACATACACGTGTATGTTTCCTATTGTTATTAAATCAATTCCAAGTCTTACTGATGCAATTACTGTAATTGTTTTATTTACATTTTTTTATTCGATCGATTCAATTTATACGTAATATGTGTTTATCACACTCATAAATGTATTCGCAGACTGCGTGTTGTCCAAAAAAGTTTCTCAAAACCAAGTTGTTATAAGTTTTTAAAGACTGTCACAGAAAAATCTTATCAAACACGACCCCTCCTTCTAGGCTAGATAAAAATGTGCACCAAGCATAAATAATGATAATAATGGAACTACAAACAGGCTGAGAATCAACAATATCTGGAATGAACTGTTTTCTTAAGTTTTTTTTAAAAAAAGGATATACGTTTTATGACACATTTAACATAACAACCAATGACTTGGCGTGACTGTTATTTGTTAATTGGCTTTAATATTTTTGAAGATGGAAAAAATTTTTTATACATTTTCTGTGCACATGCATCTCTAGTTTAGATTCTAAAGTTTCTTAATACCGCTTTGCAATCATCGTTACATAATATGCATAAGGGTTATAAAGTCCCAAAGTCCGCGGGAGGGTCAAAGATCTATCCACCCTCGAATCTCTAGCCTTTATAACTCGTGAAAAAATTATCCTACAATCGTTTTTTAAAGAAGTATTTAGAATCGTTAAAATTTCAGCCGAAGATACATATTCATAAAAACTGTATGAAAAATTTCTTCTGCCCTTAAAATTGCTCAAAAACGTTGCAAGATCCCTCAAAAAATGAGACTTTTCTACTAATTTTGTGATTTTAGGGGTGAAGAATATTTTGTAAATGTTTGTTATGATATTACATGTTTAGTCTAGATTCTAAGGTTTCTAAAACATTCCTGAATGATGCTTTAAAGCCAGCGTGTTCAAAGTAATTGAGGCTCAAAGATTAAAGGGTGTTGGAATAAAATTTCGTAGAGAATTTTGAAATGAGATAAGTTTAGGAATGGCTATAATTATTGCATGAATTATGCTTGAATCATAATTTTGACTATTGCATTGGAAAGCTCTTGCTCTCAGGAATCTATCGATATGCTTGCGGTCCATGTACCTCTTATAGATCGTGAGTTATAGGCGAAAAACAAAGCTATGCTGCAGTGGAGCATAGAAATATCTTTAAACGCTCATAACTCGAAAACTAAGCGAGATACGGCATTTTTGACGGGGATATCCTATAGGGGGGATCCAATTTTTCACTTAGGTCCAGATCTTTCATATGAGCCCTCGATCAAGGTCGTAGCATCATTAGCATAGAAGTTATGCATATTTTTATGTTTAGCAGATTTTCGGGTATATCTCTTGATTTTACCAACCAAATACAGTCGATAGCCAGTGTTTTGAGACCGTCTCGTCCCCCTCTTTCTAGTGACATCCTCAATTTCATAATCCAAGCGGAAATACGGTTTTTTGCTATTTTTGAGGTTAGAAAAAGAAATTTCCGGATTTTCATAATTAAAGGTTATTCTGTACGTTCCGGTGCTCTGAAATTCAACCTTTAATAACAACTTCTTTCAACGACCTTAGAACTAGAAATGGAGGTGAAACCGGAAATGGCTATAATTATTGCATTAATTATGCTTGAATCATAATTTTGACCATTGCATTGGAAAGCTCTTGCTCTCAGGAATCTATCGATATGCTTGCGGTCCATGTACCTCTTATAGATCGTCAGTTATGATCGAAAAACAAAGCTATGCTGCAGCGGAGCATAGAAAAACCTTTAAACGCTCATAACTCGAAAACTAAGCGAGATACGGCATTTTTGACGGGGATATCCTATAGGGGGGATCCAATTTTTCACTTAGGTCCAGATCTTTCATATGAGCCCTCGATCAAGGTCGTAGCATCATTAGCATAGAAGTTATGCATATTTTTATGTTTTGCAGATTTTCGGGTATATCTCTTGATTTTACCAACCAAATACAGTCGATAGCCAGTGTTTTGAGACCGTCTCGTCCCCCTCTTTCTAGTGACATCCTCAATTTCATAATCCAAGCGGAAATACGGTTTTTTGCTATTTTTGAGGTTAGAAAAAGAAATTTCCGGATTTTCATAATTAAAGGTTATTCTGTACGTTCCGGTGCTCTGAAATTCAACCTTTAATAACAACTTCTTTCAACGACCTTAGAACTAGAAATGGAGGTGAAACCGGAAATGGCTATAATTATTGCATTAATTATGCTTGAATCATAATTTTGACCATTGCATTGGAAAGCTCTTGCTCTCAGGAATCTATCGATATGCTTGCGGTCCATGTACCACTTATAGATCGTGAGTTATAGGCGAAAAACAAAGCTATGCTGCAGCGGAGCATAGAAAAACCTTTAAACGCTCATAACTCGAAAACTAAGCGAGATACGGCATTTTTGACGGGGATATCCTATAGGGGGGATCCAATTTTTCACTTAGGTCCAGATCTTTCATATGAGCCCTCGATCAAGGTCGTAGCATCATTAGCATAGAAGTTATGCATATTTTTATGTTTTGCAGATTTTCGGGTATATCTCTTGATTTTACCAACCAAATACAGTCGATAGCCAGTGTTTTGAGACCGTCTCGTCCCCCTCATTCTAGTGACATCCTCAATTTCATAATCCAAGCGGAAATACGGTTTTTTGCTATTTTTGAGGTTAGAAAAAGAAATTTCCGGATTTTCATAATTAAAGGTTATTCTGTACGTTCCGGTGCTCTGAAATTCAACCTTTAATAACAACTTCTTTCAACGACCTTAGAACTAGAAATGGAGGTGAAACCGGAAATGGCTATAATTATTGCATTAATTATGGTTGGATCCTTCTTTTGACCATTGCATTGGAAAGCTCTTGCTCTCAGGAATCTATCGATATGCTTGCGGTCCATGTACCTCTTATAGATCGTCAGTTATAGGCGAAAAACAAAGCTATGCTGCAGCGGAGCATAGAAAAACCTTTAAACGCTCATAACTCGAAAACTAAGCGAGATACGGCATTTTTGACGGGGATATCCTATAGGGGGGATCCAATTTTTCACTTAGGTCCAGATCTTTCATATGAGCCCTCGATCAAGGTCGTAGCATCATTAGCATAGAAGTTATGCATATTTTTATGTTTCGCAGATTTTCGGGTATATCTCTTGATTTTACCAGCCAAATACAGTCGATAGCCAGTGTTTTGAGACCGTCTCGTCCCCCTCTTTCTAGTGACATCCTCAATTTCATAATCCAAGCGGAAATACGGTTTTTTGCTATTTTTGAGGTTAGAAAAAGAAATTTCCGGATTTTCATAATTAAAGGTTATTCTGTACGTTCCGGTGCTCTGAAATTCAACCTTTAATAACAACTTCTTTCAACGACCTTAGAACTAGAAATGGAGGTGAAACCGGAAATGGCTATAATTATTGCATTAATTATGCTTGAATCATAATTTTGACCATTGCATTGGAAAGCTCTTGCTCTCAGGAATCTATCGATATGCTTGCGGTCCATGTACCTCTTATAGATCGTCAGTTATGATCGAAAAACAAAGCTATGCTGCAGCGGAGCATAGAAAAACCTTTAAACGCTCATAACTCGAAAACTAAGCGAGATACGGCATTTTTGACGGGGATATCCTATAGGGGGGATCCAATTTTTCACTTAGGTCCAGATCTTTCATATGAGCCCTCGATCAAGGTCGTAGCATCATTAGCATAGAAGTTATGCATATTTTTATGTTTCGCAGATTTTCGGGTATATCTCTTGATTTTACCAGCCAAATACAGTCGATAGCCAGTGTTTTGAGACCGTCTCGTCCCCCTCTTTCTAGTGACATCCTCAATTTCATAATCCAAGCGGAAATACGGTTTTTTGCTATTTTTGAGGTTAGAAAAAGAAATTTCCGGATTTTCATAATTAAAGGTTATTCTGTACGTTCCGGTGCTCTGAAATTCAACCTTTAATAACAACTTCTTTCAACGACCTTAGAACTAGAAATGGAGGTGAAACCGGAAATGGCTATAATTATTGCATTAATTATGGTTGGATCCTTCTTTTGACCATTGCATTGGAAAGCTCTTGCTCTCAGGAATCTATCGATATGCTTGCGGTCCATGTACCTCTTATAGATCGTGAGTTATAGGCGAAAAACAAAGCTATGCTGCAGCGGAGCATAGAAAAACCTTTAAACGCTCATAACTCGAAAACTAAGCGAGATACGGCATTTTTGACGGGGATATCCTATAGGGGGGATCCAATTTCTCACTTAGGTCCAGATCTTTCATATGAGCCCTCGATCAAGGTCGTAGCATCATTAGCATAGAAGTTATGCATATTTTTATGTTTTGCAGATTTTCGGGTATATCTCTTGATTTTACCAACCAAATACAGTCGATAGCCAGTGTTTTGAGACCGTCTCGTCCCCCTCTTTCTAGTGACATCCTCAATTTCATAATCCGAGCATAAATCCGATTTAATAAATACGATTTAATAAATACGATTATTATTTATGAACGATTTCTCTGTTACCTACTCAATTTTAGTTGACATCGAGCTTCGACCCTTCACCGCACCACGTGAGCGCGTAAAGTCAACTTCAGAAAACTTTTTGATTTCGGCCCACCCTCAAAAATAACGGCCTTGCAAGTGTCAACAAAAGTCTCTGCTATTTTTTTCAATTTCAAGTAGCTCGTCAATAATTATGGAAAATTTCTTCAGTCATCATAAACACACAGCACAAAAAATTGATAATAAACTTAAAAAATTATTAAAAATATGGGAGTCTCCTCACGTGTTGTTAAATGGATCTGAAAAAAACAGTGAAGAAACTAAAATTTGTTTGAAATACATCAAATCTCGAATCGCCTTAGTTCAGGTAATGATTAGTTATATTTTTGTTGATCAAAGTAATCTATTTTAATCCTTATTACTCCTTATTCAAGTAGAATGAATTGAATGAAGATAGTAAAAATATACCTAAATATCTTGATGATATGGATAAATTTTTGCAAGATTGCAGAATGATTTCTGAGAATTTAGAACAAGGAATAGATGATATTAAATTATTATATTCTGAATATGGATTTACTCGCCCGCCGAGTGGACTTGAGTAAGTTATTCGAGAAGAATATCTGTTTTACTCATAAATACATTCCTTAAAGAAATGATAAAATTAAAGACTATACTTTTAACTTATTCAGATCTGAAATACATCCAGTAGATGACGATTTACCACAAGAAATTGAGAATTTTAATATCACTTTACAATCGAATAGTATTGACCAGTATGAAGATGAGGACGAAGAAAATAATTCTTCTATTTGTAATCAATCTATAACTAGTCCAGGGAATCCTACTAACGATGGAACTCATACAGACGAAACACTTCAAACTCCTGCACGTGTAATTCCTCAAGAACCTATTTTTTCTCCTTATTATTACTCTAATTACTAAATGTTTTTTGTATGAATTTCGTTAAGTGCCAATACATCCAATTTTTCATATGAACATAAATGTGTGTTGATCAATTATTCATAGATTAATGTAAAAAAAAGTTTTCTACATAAATAAAATATGTATATTTAGCTTTCAGCGTTAAAGAAAAATGAACCTTAGTTTATGCATATACATATCTGCTCCGAAACACATGATCAATGTTTTGAAAACTATAACATAACCTTACATTTTACATAAAGAATTATTTTTCTTTAAAATAATTTTCAAGATGAGTGAGTTGTTTTATAACAATTTAAATTTATAATAATTAAAAATACGATTTGAAAAGATTATTGAAGTAAATTAATAATAATAATATTTGTAATATCTTTTTACAGGCCAAAAATCTTGTAATTTTCGTGGAAAGCCAGTTTTCGAACGAATGAACTTCTTATATCAGGTAAAATATTAATGTTTATTATAAATAAATAATAATTTAATGTTTAATTATTAATTATTTTTCAAATGATTTAAAGGCGAGTCAAATTATGGCTAAAATTGATCCAGTAGCATCTTCTTTCTATGGAAATGCGATGATAAATTGCGCTAAAAAAACAGTTTCAAAAATGTAATATTGCTTATCGTATTTACAATTTGTTTCAATCTATTAAAATGTATCATATAAAAAATTCAATATATTTATTTTTTAGAGAACCTGATATAAAGCGAACTATGTGTAAAAGCTGCCAATCTCCATTAGTAGCTGGAGAAACAGCAAGAGTACGATTAATGACAAAGCCAATAAAATCTATAAAAATAACTTGTCTTCTCTGCAAAACATCAAAGCGAATTGTAAATAAAAAAGAATATAAATTATGGCTGGAATGCCCAGAGTCTGTGGTTAAGATTTTAAAAGATCCAGATCCATCAGAAAAAAAAGCCAAAAACACAAATTCTACACAAGTGTCCAAAAGTTAAGATTATTTATTTGATTAAATGTATTTTATTATGTTGCTTAGATATATAATTTTTTTGTTTTTCCATTTTTGTGTGGAAAATTATAACAAAGATACTAATTATTAGTATGGTTACTTTTATAATAATTGTATACATAAAATATGTTACAATATTACAATAAATTTTTTAAACAAATAATAAATAATTATCACGGTTTTACATCTTTTACACAAGTAACATATACATTAATAAACATCCAATTTTAGTTAATTGCCTTTATCGTTGGCTTAACTTTTTCATCAAATACCTAAATTTTATATGTTGTATAGAAGAAAATGTCTAAGTAAATAGAAACAACTAACATAACAATTAAAAATTAAAATGCTTAATATTTAAACCTAATTTTTATGTTTAATTATAAAATATCTCAAATATCTAATAATAAGCTAGTTAAATAAATATTATTGTCAGAGGAAATAAATTTATTTCTACTATATGTATTTCTATAAATTATTTCACGTTTAACAGATTTTGGCAAATAGTTATCAATTAATTTGATTTTTTTTTTAGATATGATTAAGTCCGCCCAATGCCCACGAGATTCTCCAGCCATTCAACGAAATCCTTTAACAAATAAGTTTTATACAATTTTTGTCATTTTTCTAGTTAAATTTTCAAATAGAACAAGTAACAATCAATCACAATTGTTAATAAAATCTTTTAAAATTGTCACTAATTTACTACTTGAAAGCAATCTAATCACACTAGATTAACAACGAATATTTTAGAGTTTTCTTAGATATTAAATAATAAATAAAATTTTGCCTAGATAAAATTTGAGTTATTTAATATTTCATCACTAGAAATTTCTTCAAAATTTTAAATCTAAGAAATATTTTTCTCAAAATTTGAATTTTATATACACATGATAAATAATATATAAAAATGAAAATACAGAGATCATGTTAACTGTTTAAAATGTCAAAATTTGATAATGTTTTTTTTTGACTGGCATAGTATTTACGTGATTACCCTAGAAATAATTTTTCTAGAGTATTTGGAGTTTCATTAATTGACATGTTTATATTATTTTTCTTTTTGTTAACACATGAAGACTCGTGGTAGAGAAAAATTAATTGAACACAATTAAATCGTTCGTACCATTAAATAACTGTCTGTCAATGATAGAAATAATAAACAATAAAATAAATATTCAGAATACGAGTAAAATTATTATAATACATCATAGCAAATTAATATTAAATTTGCATAAAATTCATCTATGTACTGTTAAGTTCTTCATGAAAATGTTCATTTACTGGAGTATATATTCATTCACTGGTTAATTTACGCAACATTCTCTCAACCAGCAATACAAAATTTCAGTGTACAAAAATTCAACCAGACACAGCTTAAAAACGTTGTGGTTAATAGTAGAAATATTTATAATCAGCCAATTTACTTTAAAATACATATTCAGTTGTATTTTTACATACTACTATTACCATTCAATAGAATTTAAAATAGTAGAATTCTTATTTTGATTATCTTTTACGATAAATAAATTATATACATTTAAGAAATTATTAAAAAGTACTTAATCATAAAATATTATTATAAAAATTTTACTAAAATTCAGTAAAATAAGTATGTCCTAAGAAATCAAATTTTGGGCTGGACGGATCTATCTACATATTTGCTATAATTTTACTAAGACGAAAATTATTCTCATCATGTCTAAATGCACATACCACATTTTCTGCTACAGTTAACGTAATTAATTATATATAATCTTTAGTATATAAAGTAATTAGAGTTTCATATTAAATATTAGATTGGCAACATATTACGTAGATACAGCAGATACAATATTAATATTACTTTTACTCATTAATATTATTATTGTTATTATTACCGTTTGTTTAAAAATTATTTATGTCTATTATGAACTTCAAGTCTTATGATTATTCATGAAGTAATGGATTACATGACGATGATGATTCTAGTTGATTTTGTATGAATACAGAGGAAGATATAAACAGGATGGTTAGCCAACAAAAATTATATCTTCAATATTCGTATATCATGAAGATTACTTGGCAGCAATTAAAAAAATTACATCACACTCAATTATATAATCCAGTTATTGTCATGGACATTTTCATATAAGATTTCTGTTAATTTCTGATGACATTGATGATTTGATCTCTGATTAAATTATGTCCTATTAAATATTGAATTGAATAAAATTTATAATAGAGTATTAATCGAAAATATCTAATATCAACATAATCCTATAATATGACAAACTATTTAAACAATTCGTTGCTATAATTAAATTTGATTCTACATTCAAATGAACTCTAGACAAAAAAGTTACTTAATTGCCATTCACTAATTAATATTTAAAATTAGGCCTTCAAGTTTCGTTTGGCGACTTTATCAAGAAGTTTAAGTGCTGTGTAATGATATTGTAACTTAATTAATATTTATAGTAACTCTAAAATAATATTTTTAGCTTGTATTATTTAAATAATAAATTATAAGTATGTTGGTAATTACATGAATATATTTATTATTGAAATAATACGCACAGTAACTTAGTGAGTAATTTGAAGACTCTAAGAATGGCTTTGTTGTATTAGTAAAAAATTTTGATATGAATATGTAAAATCAGTAAAAAATTACTATATAAAAATATATAATTAAATGTTAAATTAAGTGCTACCTTTATCTTTTAGGTCGTCCGTAATACTTTTTACTAAGAATATTGTCAGTTTTATATTTTCATTCTTCAATCGTTTCAGTTTATACACATGTAATAAAAAAGAGATTTGTGCAGCACACAAAATATTTCAGAGAAAAATTAAATGTATGAAATGAAGAAAATGAATGATCTCTATGATGGTAATGTTGATGTTTAAATGAGCCCTGAAATGAACTGTGGTTGACCATCACGATCCAGAGTCAGCTGAGGTACAACTGTCGTTGACGGTTGGAATGTTGAGCCTTGAAAGCCCATTGCGGATTCATAGAACTAAAAAATCAAATGATTTAAATTAGAGCTTCATGAATCAATGTTAAAAATAAGGGATTGTTTGTAAAGAAATAAAATATGAAAATGTATGTACACTATGATTTCCTGGCAGTGTTGTATAGTCTGGAGTAGTGGAACGATGCCTATTGTTTTGGGCCGGATGTTGAATAGTAGCATAAGTATTATCCTGAGACGTATCACCCATACCCACACTCATTCCACTGACACTCCCACGTCTCTCGGTCATTAAACCTCCTTCCGGTTCGCTGAAGACCTGCATTGTTAATTCTTGTTCTTCGTACAGTTTCAGTTTTCTGAAATGATCATTATTTGAATATTAACTCGATTGCCAGAGATATTTTAAATCCTTAAAGAGGATGGTATTTTTTTGGTCATTAAAAAACAAAAAAGGATTTTAATTCAAAATTTTAGAGATATTATTGAACATTTTTTTCATCTCACCGTTTAAATTTTCATAATCTAAAAAAATGTTTGAATGTCTGTTCTTGGATTTCTTCATCAATGATTACTATTTTTTATATAGTATGTGATTCAATTTATTCAACAAAATAAAAACTTACTGTTCTATCCAAAGAGGATTTTCTGTAGTATTGAGCTCATCCAAAATTTGTTTTTTTATCAAACCGTCCTTCTTTCTAATATCATTTGGTACTGTTATAACCCAATGTCGTAAACAACAACAAACAACAGTCACCGTTACAGCTCCAACAAGTAAAACCACTAGCATTGCAATTAAAGCAGCTAAAGCTGGATCAAAAGATTCCTCTTGAACTCCAACATAAGCCGGCTATTTGAGTAAGAAAAGTAAATAAAATATTTTGCTATTTCAAGAGAACTAAGTAGAAAATTTATACACTTACTACGACATTTTCAATGGCAAATCCAACATAATAATCTTTTAAAACATCGTACTTTTCATCGATTGCTTTCAAAACTTGAGGTACTGGAGAAATAATTTGAGTTGCAGGATCCACTACGTGTAGATACATATCACACCACTCTCGACGAATATGACCTGCAGAGTCTACATGATATCTAATATCATCAACTACAACACGACTGTGTGTAGCATTGGATAATTCAGCAATAATTTCATCACGTTGATGATTTACCTCCTCGGGAGGTCGAGATAAAATTACACGAATTAATTGCGCTGGTTCAAATACCCAAACCTAAAAAAGTAAGAAATTTGTACGATGAATTACAGACCCAATTTTCATATGTGTATATAAATTAGTTAACAGAATCAAATATCTTACATGAACTCGAGCGGTAGCATATCGTTCAGGACTAGCTTTCTCTTTAGCAATTACTTCCACAACAAATCTGTCTTGATTATATTCTGCCATATATCCACTTGTTACTACTTTCCCATCTTGACTAACATTAAAAGGACTAGGAACAATGGAGCCTGACAGCTTTTCTGAGCCATATTTATAAAGATTTGCACTAGCAACGTAGTAATAAAGTGTACCATTATCACCAAAGTCTTGATCTGATGCTGTAACCTTGACAACAAAATCATTTATATTTGCCATAGAATTAATACCAGCATAATAATCAGTTCGTTCGAATTCTGGCGGACTATCATTCTCATCTAGAATATTTATGGTTACATTCACATGACCATAATCTGGATTATTTGCAAATGCTTTTGCAGTATCTGGTAGAGGGCTAATATACAAATCTGGATCATTAGCAGCAAGGATGGATACGAGATATTTATCTCTTGTTTCACGATCAAATGATTTATTAGTATAAATAGTTCCATCTGATTTATCAATGTAGAAAGATAGATCTTCATTTCCTGACTCTATATAGTAATAAACTTTTGCATGGTTTCCTTCGTCTTTATCTTCAGCTATCACCTGTCCAACTACGTAATCTTTTTGACGATTTTCAGGGATATTAAAAATATAATCATCCGTAAATTGCGGAATATTATCATTCGTATCGACCAAGAGAATTGTTAAAAGTCGGAGAGTTTCGTAAGATGTTGGATTACCATGATCAGATGCAACAAGAACTAGCTCGAATTTATTCTTAATTTCGCGATCAAGAATAATTTTCGAGCGTAGTTCTCCTGTTTCTGAATTTATCGAAAACTCTTCATTCTCTTGGACGTTTTTATTACCGACTTTTAGGTGATAACTAATACGGCCATTTTCACCTGGATCGTTATCGGCTGCTCTTACTGTCATAACAAGATAATTTGGAACTCCTGCATTCTGCAAGTTTAAATAAAGTAAGAAATTACATGAAATTAAATGGATGAATGAATTTTTGAATCAATTACCTCTGGTACTTCAACCGTTGCATTCGGTAATTCTGGCATAACAAATTCCGGTTTATGTTGATTAACTGGAATAACTCGAATATCCACGTAAGCACGATCAAAATGTGGACCCTGACCAGCACCATCACGAGCTTCAATTTCAATTCGATAACTTCCAGCACGCCCACTCAATGCCATTGCCGGATACAAAAATCCTGTTTCTGAATTTAATGTAAAAGATCCATCATCATTTCCACTAATTATTGAATACCAAACATCGCCATTTAAGCCTTCATCATCATCTTCCGCATGAACTTGAAGGATCGTAGCCGGCGGATTAACAGATAAATTCTCCGCAACTGATGCTCGGTAACTGTGCTGAGTAAATATGGGCTTATTGTCATTAACGTCTTCAAGATTAATGTTAACTTTAACAGTCGTGGATCTTCGAGAATTTACTGGAGCACGATCACTTGCCATAACAGTTATCACTATGTCAGGTGTCATTTCCCTGTCTAAAACAGTGGCGCTTCCTACTGTTATCTCACCAGTATCATGTCCTATATTAAAGTCAGAAGCGTGTTCGCCAATCAAGCTGTAAGTGACTTCTCCAAAAACCCCCTCATCGCCATCGATTGCCTAGAATGATTAAAGAAACAAGTTCATTACTGTCCTTTTATTTAATAAATACATGAATAAATTATCAGTTAATTTATTTATAGAGTATTTAACAGGTTATTAATTAATTTCTTTCAATTTTAAAATTATAATCAATGTCCAAGAGACATTAGCATATGTCAAATATCCATTAATTTTCAAACAAATAAAAAATCGAAATAACTTTTAAAATATTAAATGAATTTTTTTCTAATGCATTTAAATTTGTGCAGACTTTCAAAAAATGATAAATTTTCTTATTGTATGAAAATTAAAGAGATACATAATCCACGTGGACATTCTTACATACATCCAAGATAACAGTACCTAATACAGGTTAATGATCACTTACCTTGACAACAGTGACATGAGTCCCAGGTGGAGAGTTTTCTTTAATGGATACTTTATAAGATTTTTTTTCGAACTTTGGATCCTGATCATTTACGTTGATGATATTAACAGTTACTTTGGCAGAGGCAGAAAGTTGAGGAAAACCTGAGTCATAAACAACCACAGTAAATTCTAATTGTTTAGTTTCTTCATAATCGATAATTTGACTAGTTCTGACGATCCCTGTAGTATTGTCAATATTGAAATAAGAGCTAGGAGGTTCTATTGCATATGCAGCAATATTACTATCAGCATCAGTTGCTGTGAATGCACCAACAATTGCACCAGTTGGCTGTTCTTCTTGCATTTCGATCACGTATTTTGGGTTTTCAAGAGTCCAGGGTTTGGTAAACTTTGGAGCCATTCGATTCACATCAATAATAGTTACCACAAGTGTGCCCATACCTTGCTGCAGTAATTTAGCTGATGTATCTGTTACAACAACGTTAAGACTGACAGTTGCAGCAACGTCGCGGTTCAGTGGTCTGACCACTGATACTTGACCAGTCTTCGGATCGACAGCGAAGTATTCTTTAAAAGAAGTTTCATTACCCGTAACTAACTGACCATCTTTATCAATAGCCGTAATTGGTTCTGTGATAGAGTATCTTAATGCATCTTGAGTTGTACTGTCAGGATCTTTGGCCTTCAAGGTTGTGAATACCGTTCCAACTGGTGAGTCTTCCGTTACTTCTGCACGCTGATTTGTTTGTTCAAAGTACGGCGATTTGTTATTATTATTTTCTACTTTAATCATCAATGTCGCCGTTCCTGTTAAACTGGGAGTACCACTGTCGAGTGCAATAACTTCAATATGATAAGAATTTCTAGTATCATAGTCGAGTTTACCCGATATTGTCACTACCCCGGTAGTTTCATCGATTACAAAATCATCGAAAGCACCTTTTTGAATTCGATATTTCAGTTTCGCATTTATTCCACTATCACTATCAGTAGCTACCATTTCTTCAACGACCGTTCCTGTAGAGTAGAAATAAAAGTAATAAAAATATATGTTTATTGTTTAATGAAATAGATTGAGACAACTTTATTTTAGAAAATAAATCGATTTACCTGGCGATGCAATTTCCGGAACACTTGCAGTATAAACATCTTGAGGAAACGCCGGTGCATTATTATTGACATCTCTAATCGTTATATTCACAATAGCTGTATCAGAAAATAATCCATCATTCGCTTCAACTGTCAGAGCAATCCAGTTTTGCGTAAAATTTGTCAAATCAACCGGTCCATGTGAGGATATTTGAATTTCGCCGGTATTTGAGTCAATATTAAAGAAATTCATCTCATTTCCGTCTATTATTGAATACGTAATTTTCGAAATTTTATCACGATCTCGAGCATGAACTTTCAATTCCGGGTCAAATTTATCAGCCCCCTCATCGACCACTGCTCGATATTCATCTTGGAGAAATTGTGGTGGATTATCGTTAGCATCTGCTAGCGAAATTCGTAGTGAAACTGTAGTAGTTTGGCCATTCCCGTTATCATCAGTTGCCTATTGAATTTATGAATTATTTATAAATTATTAAAAATATTTTCAAATTAGAGTAAAGGATACCAATATCGGCAAAATAATTTATTCCAAATTAAAATTCTTTTTTACGTTAAATAATTTAAATTGCAAATTTTTATTTTAATATTTTAAATCATCGTATTAAACAAAATATTCATGTTAATTTAAGTGGACTGTTAATTCTCTCTCTTTTAAACCGTTGAAAATTTTAAATGTTAAATAAAAAAAAATATATGCTAGCAATAAAAATTTCATAAAATATGGAATGTTTTTTCAGTCAAATTATTGTATTATAGATGAGGTAAATTCTTTTTTTTAATTTAAAAGAATTTTTAAAAGAGTCTCTTGAAACGTTTACTTGTATAAAAGATAAAATATTTTCTTTACTTTATAGTTCAAAAAATAATCCGCTTGCTCTTCGAAATCCAGACATGGGAATGTACCAGGTGTTGAACAAGGTGCAACAGTGATCGTGCCATTTTTCTTATCCACCAGAAATTGCTCATCACCTTGACCTAATAATTGATAGACGATTCCCGCTGTTCCAAACGACCCACTATCTCTATCACTAGCTTTAATAGTGGCAACATTAGTTCCAGGTGCGGCTGTTTCTGACACTAGAGCGGTGTAAGTTGCGCTACTAAATGAAGGAGCGTTATCATTCATGTCTTTTATTGCGACAGTTACAGTAGCAGTGGACTTAAACTTGTCAACAGTTTTATCTTCTTCAGCAATTACCTAGTTAGGAAAGTAAATATTAAATACTTTTTCGCAATTTTAAATCAAATATTATTCTTTCATTATCTTGCAGACGCCTCTCTAATACCAGCTTCAATATCTCTTCAAATATAAGTAGAGGTAAATTGGAATATCGATTAATTTTAATCCACCTTACCAATAGAATAAATTTCCTCTGGTTAGGATTTTCATAATCCAGTGACACGTTTGACACACGGATCGTTACGGATGTACTACCACTTGCATGCTCTGGTTCTATCATAAAAGCTCCCGAAATGTCAGATAATTTTAAATTGAACTCCGATCCAAGATCCTGAAAGGTCAAATTGAATAGCAAATGTATAAGAAAGTAATATTTTGTTTAAATTTAATTTTAAAATAAATACTAAAAGATTTATACCAGATCAGGATCCTTGACAGTCATATCTAGATGAGGTAATGGCATACCATCAGGAACATTTTCGGGTATTTCTACGCTGTATTCTCGCTTATTAAACATTGGAGCCTCATCGTTGACGTCTTTGATGGTAATAGTGGCTTCAGCTATTGAAACTGTAGTTTCATCATTGCCTGGTACACCATCAACCAACTCACGAGCTTTTATCTTCAGATTTAATACGCCTGTAGAATTTTCAAGAGCTTCTCTGTCCAAAGGTTTGGCTGTTCTCAATTCGCCAGACTTTGGATCCAGCAAAAAATACTCAAAAGGATCTGTGAAATGAATGAGGAAGTTAAAAACCCTAATTAAAATTTTATTGCTCACTAAAGAGGTTTTTCTATCAATAAAAAATTTTAAATCGGAATGTTTTCTGAGATCCTATGGATTGTTTTAATTGCAATATTGTCGAGTTTCCAATAACGATTAAAAGGAAAATTAATAAACAGATTTACTACATTTATGAATATTTTTGAATAAATAAATCAATTAGAAGAATTATACTATGAAAAATTTACAAACTTTTATGAGATTAATTTATAAAATCTTGAGTTATTTTTTTTTATGACAGATTAAAATTGAACTATGATGTAATGAAAAAAAACTTTTGAATGAGATCTAGATGTAAAAAAAATTTATGAAATAAAAAAAAACATTTACTTGTCACCAATTCGTAGATAACTTTCCTGGGAATACCACGATCACCATCACGTGCTTTGACAGTCATTACAAGCGTTCCAACAGTAGCATTTTCATTAACTATTCCCGTGAGAGAGTTTAAAAATTCAGGAGGACTATTCTGTACATCCGTTATTTTAATCTCCACCCCAGTAGTTTCATTATTTGTCCCATCCTATATAAAAAATAACAAGCAATAATAAGTAATAATAAATCAATGGATATTATTGGCTGTAAATTTCTACACACTATAATTATATTTTGATTAAAGCCACTTATTTAATTCAAATATTTACTCACGCTGGCTCGTAATAGTAATTGATAGAAGGGTCTTTGCTTATAATCAAGTTGCTCCCGTACCACTAAGCCACCAATGTACGTATTAACGCTCTTCTCTATGTCGACAATACCAAATTTAGTGCAAGCGTCGGGAAACTATAATGAAATTTTGGTTTGAAATTCTCATCGATAAAAGAAAAGCATAAAAGGATATTATTCTTTTAGTATTTTATAGTCTTTTAATCCAGATAATTATTGCTCTATTTATTGACGATGGATTTAACTTTTAAAAATCTCAATTTGCTGATAATTTAACATTACAAAATAATATTTCCCATCAATTAAATTGTTTCAATGGAGTATGAGAATTTTTTAATTGTTTTTATTTACTTTTAATTGTACATAAACCGATAATGAAAATTCCAAGAACAAATAGCTCCAGAAAAATCAATAAACTGTTCGTTTGTCTAGTTAAAGTCTTTAAGATGGATTACTTTGTTTCGGATGAAAAGAGTAAATATTTTTTTTTTTATTGCATTTTACTCCATTTTATTTACATTCTCAAAACCTGTGAGTTTAAGAAATTATCAGAGATGTTAAAGAATGAAAAAGTTATGAAGGCTTTAAATCAAGAGCCCATACTTTATAAAAAGTTGCTCTAAAATTTGAACACGTTTTTTCTAAAATTTATATTGAGGGAAAGTTTCTCTATTTTTTCTCTGTATCTAAATTATACTTTTGTTCATTTGTAAAGCAATATGTTATACTTAAAAAAATTTTATTCTTATTATTGATGTTTGAAATTTTTTACCTACTATATATTTTTACAGAGATATATGATGACAGTATAATAATAGGCAACATGAATAAGATTCATGTTCGGTATCAGAGAAGGAATAAAAAGAATATGCTGATAAACATTAATCAACGTGACAATGTGATCTTCCTTTTGTTAAAGTTCTAATCAATAACATTATCTTGTTCGTTTATTTTTTAAAGGAAAGCAATATCGTCTTTGTTAGCTACAGAAACAATTCAAATTATGCAACAATTAATTGAATTACTTCACTAAATTTAACTCTATCATCCTCAGATTCTCTGATATAATAATAATGAAAAAAAGGTCAGCTTTGTGAATTTCTCTAAGTGAATTTTCCTGCTAATTAGCCTTTATTATATTCCATTCAATGTGCGTGCTTTAAAATCCACTTGTTCAAATTGCTCATGATAAAAAAAAAAAGGACAAAAAAATTAAATTGAAAATAGTATTTAAGTGAAGGTAGATTTCATTTACCTGGAGCTTAGGTACGCAAGATACCTCGATGTTTTCACTAATTGAATCAGGATCAGTAACTTTAATCTCAGATAAAATGGTCGTACCAATTGGAGTATCTTCACTAGCTGTAGCTTCATAAGGAGTGCCTTGGAATTTTGGTGGATTGTCGTTGACATCCAGCACAACAACGTTGACATCTATTCCAACTGTATTAGGTTGTTGACCTTCCAGAACACGATCTTCTAGAGTTACGCGAAATTTAAATGAGTCGTTTTCCTGAAATTAAATCATCATTTTAATTAGTTAGTGAACGACAAAATGCCACAATTGATATAAATAATATTTCTCTTAGGAAATACAAATTTTAGGAATTATTATTTTACATTTAATTTAAAAAAAATATTATTTACAAGAATAAACTTGTTGAAAAGCTAAATTTTAATATATTTGAATAAATTTTATTGTTCAGGAGTACGTTTATTAGCTTAGCTAACATTATTTATGTTTATCAATTTACTGTGATTTGAACCACGTTTGTTGACTTAATGAAACAAACTATTCACTTAATTTGGGTAAATACTTGCCCACTCTTACAACTATGAAACACTAAATTGGCGAACCTTTTTTTCAGTTGAATTAAAAAACCATGAGATAGAAAAAAAGATTTAATTAAATACAATATGAATAAAAGTTTAGTCAGATTTTGGTGATATCCCTATGCTGAAAAAATTCAATGATAATCTGATTACATCAGGTACAGTTAACTTGGATTACTTTAGCCTTTCAATTTAACTTTGGTTCGAGCTTCAACGAATGTTTTATTCGAATGAACATAAATAATAATGTATGGAATTTAAAATTTATCAATAAATCAACAATGAATTGAAATGAAATTAATATAATTTTTTACCCTGAATAATGTAAATTGAGTATAATTAAATTAATTTGTAAGTAGATTATTCTCATTTTAACTAAATTATGAAAATAATTTACTACTTTAGTATTGATGAATTCTTTAATGTCTAGAACTTTTAAGTTTTATTGATCGAATAAATTAATATAATTCAACAAAATTATTATAAATTTTCTAGACTTTTATATCAGAAAAGATAAATTTTATTCAGTTCAAAAATTATTCTTCAATTTATATAAAATTGAGTCGGTCTTTTAACTTTCACGATGAATAATTAAGTACTTGACTTTTCACGAGTTTCTGATGATTTCTTCATTAAACGCATAGTCAAAGATGGAAAAATCCAAAGTATTCTATTGATTCTAGGATGATCATTCACTTCATTTATATGAAAATCAATTTGCTTTAATTTTATATCGAATCTCATGTATATATAATTACAATTATATTTTCTGGAAACTTTTTTTTTGTTATTATTTTATTCAATGATGAATGGTTATTTTATCATAATAGTACTGCAGGTATTATTCATTTATAATATTGATTTATATTCCAACAACGTCTGAATACTAGCTGATTTTCCGGGCTTCACCCACGTTAACTTTGCCGTTTTTCTTTTTTTTGCTTATTGCTTCGTTTCCAGATATCGAGTTCTAATGATATTATATCCTATTACGTTCATGTATCCACCTTTTTCATGATAAAAGTTTAGTTTCATTGGTACCGAGTCAAGAGAATTTGAGATTAGAGACAAACAAGAAGATAAATAAACGGAAATTGTAAATTAGACTGATTATATTCGAGTACAATGAAAAAAATTCTTGTTATAAATAGAGGCTTTTAGAGAATTCTTTTTGATTTAGAACTTTTTAAAAACTTATTGGATAAGTTTATATAACAAATTTATTTGCTCTGGTAATTTTTATTTGTTTCAGAAATACTATTTTTATCAATAAAAAAGTAACAACTAAAGTTTAATTGAATAGCGAGGTCACAAAGCATGAGAGATGTTAAATTCGATTTAATTAAATGAAAAAAATAATTATTAAATTTATCAAACGAATTTTGAACAATATGCGATTTTTTATTTTTTTTTTGAGATAACTTTTATTGTGATTCTGCACAGTTGTGTATATTTTTACATCTATGTGAAAAATTTATTCTTCTTGTCTATTATACTTTACAGTGAAAAGAATTACAACATTTTGGTGAGTGTTGGTTGCAATGAGAATATGTAATGAACTCGTTTTATCTGTCTGTAATACAATTTAATTTAAATTCATTGTTTCAGAGATTTTTCAGAACTTCTTTCATTTATCATGTTAATTATATATTGTTAAACGAATAGTTTTATCAAATCAATTGAAAAAAAGAAAAGTAACTGAATTTAAACGATTTTTTCGACATTTAATTAAATGAGCATTTTTTAAAGTAATGAAAAGCTTTTTGTTCTTTTATCATTTTAAAAGACAAAAAACTAATATAAAATTTTAACTTTGAAAATGTAATGCATAAAATAATTTCGAATAAAATGTTTTTTATTTTTTATATAAAATGCAAGAGGTCGAGTATGTATTATTCATAAAAATTTTTATTATTTTGTATCATATTACATGAATATGTTCTTCAAACTATTGTTCAATATCGCTCGGACGATTTCTGTGTTGTGGTTTTGGCATTGTGACAATTTATTATTTGTTACACGACACGTTTTCATTTCTAACACCAAATAATATAAAAATGAAATAATAAAAAGAACTAAAGTTAACCACAAATAAATGTGGTTTTAGCTACGAATTATTCTGAACACGGATTAATTATAAAAACTTGAGGAAAATATCATTTTTATTGTATATAATAAAACCACAATTGTTTCATGCATCAAATTAAAATCACGTTTCACTTTTCATTGATTTATAATTCAAAATTTCGATTGCAATTTTTGTCGAAAAAACATTTTACATTTGACAATGAATAATCAAACAATAGATTTTTAACAACTGAGTGATCAACTTAATAATATTCAGAGATTCGTTGAGCAATTAACTTTTTATTCATTTTCTTTGATTATGTTGTATTGATTTGATCATATTGATTTTGTTGTATTTGAATCAAATGCTTAATCTTTTCATGTATTGTATGATTCAATATTGATATTAATTAAAACATTTATTTCTGAAACAGGATATTAATTAAATGATTAAAAATATTCTATATTACTTTGTATTTAACGAAAAGTAAAAAAGTTGAACTTGAAAAAATATGTATATATCAATTTACTAGAACGTTTTTTCTGATTATTCAAACAATTTATTTAACTCCAACACCCAACTTTTGTAAAATGGATTCCGTTATTTTTAAAATTATAAAGACATCAGACAAATATTCATTAATTTAATTACCCCAGAGTCTTACAAAATGACTTTTGCGTACTTAATTTCCACCTTGAGACCTTTTTTCCCTGTTCAAAGAGTCAAGTCTATCAAAAATATTATTATTGTATCTTAAACGACTTCTTTTGTAATATCCATAATCGTAAATAAAAGTAAAATTGCTGAAAGTTATAGGAGCTGGTATTTCCACTCTTTCAGGAGAAAATATACGAGAAAATAAGTAGAGAATAGTGTACAGCTTCCAACGTAGAGTCCAAAACAACCACAAAGTAAATTATTGATTTTAAGTGGTTGTCTGGTGGATAGAGATTTTTTTCTTGTTATTTAGCTCCATGATAAGCTACTAGCTACCAAAGAATAATATACATGTGACAGATAGCTCACGTCAGCTTTACAGAGTTGATCAATCAGTCAGAAAGCTTCTTTTTTTTTTCTACTTTCAAAAGCTTTCTAAAAGTTTTTGCTCCTACCGGAACAAATTACTTTAAGTGCATTGACTTTGCTTGGCTTTTTGCTTATTACTTGGGAGCTTCACGAAGACGTAAAGTAAATGATATGTAACCTATTGCACTTGATGATAAATTGGATAGATACAAGTGAAAAACGTATTCAAATATGCCAGAGTATTTGAGATTTATCACTAGTATAAGCCCAAGCAGACAGACGTTTAATTTGATACAGAGTGGTGGAATTACCACACCCGTGTATGTAGAATTGTAGAAAGCTTCAACTAATGTGAATGAGTTGTGAATTAAAACAATATTTCAAAGAGGTGAGTGTTTTAATTTACCTCGCGGTCTAACGGTTTTGCCAAGGTTATAACTCCAGTCTTTGGATCTACAGTAAATTTATCGGTCAACTGGATTCCATATTTAACCTCAGAATTTTCAGGATCATGACCTTTTAACGTAAACACCTCTTTGCCCACCGGAGTTGATTCAGGCAAGGTTAACACTTCTATGATACCACCAGCAACAAATTCAGGTGGCACGTTTACATTGTTATTCGCTGAAACAGAAAATTATTTGATTAAAAAATTACGAAAGTTTACATAGTTTAATTCATTTAATGATTAATCGTCATTCAGTTTTATCATTTTTATCGATATTTTTAATTTGAACGACCATTTAATCGATATATAGTATATTATCTCTTAATTTGATAGTTCGAACAATGAATAAAAATATTTGAATAATTTTTTTTACAGAAAAAAAAATTAAATTATTTAATTAAAAAAATTGATAATTCCCTACGATAAAGTCGAATTTTTTTATATTAATTCGATAATTGAAATAATTTTCGTAATGGATGCAGAAAAATGCAGTTTTTTTTATTATTTTATATTGACGTTAATTAAATTATTTGATTTTTTAATTTATTTTATTATTTAAAATTGAATGAAAGTTTGCATATAAAAATTCGAATGATGGATTAATTAAGAAAATTTTTTCTCTAAAACAATAATTTCTAGGTCACGTCATATTAAAGTGACAAATTGTACAATTTCATACTCTATAAAAGTTGAAAAAAATATATAGATTTTAATTAAAACTTCAAATAAAAAATTAATGATTGTAGAATTTACGGTAATAACCACATCTTGAATGAAAGTAACTTAGGAAAGAATTTTCAATGAGAATCTTCTTCAAGAGAGAATTATTTAATGCTTACCTGTACTAACGCCAGTGAAAAATGTCGAAATTAAAAATCCTTTTACGATATATCTGAAATTGAAAAAAAAAATTAAAATTAATAAATTTTCTATGCTAATAGTTTCTTAAAAATTATTTTAACGTTTTATTTTATTTTTTACTTTACATATTTTTTTGCTTCAATTTAGCAGCAAAAAAAAAAATAAAATGAGTCAATGTTGATATTTTCTTACATATTACTTGTATATGGAATTTATAGGTGGATAGTTTCAAACGCAATTGAATAGAATATGATCAAGTATTATTTGAAAATAAATCTAAAAAGTGTAAGCGATATAAAATCTGTGAAACCCTTATCGAGGATATCCTACATTCACTGAGTTGATTCCTACTTCACTTTTTTTTTATTTGTGTATCTTTCATTCACATAAAGTCTTGTGAAAAGACACTCGAGAAAAGATTAGATAAACGTTTTTATATTTGCACTGTTAAATTTACTATTTTACTTTTCAAGACTATGATAATTATTATCCTTTCTACTATTCTTTCTGACATCTCAACTTATTAACAACAATAATGAGTAAAAAATTTTTTAGAATTAAAATAAATAGATAAAAATAAACTTTATTAACTTATAAAAACAGAAGAAAAATGAAGAAACTTTTATGAAATTTTTATCAACAATTTTTTCTGCTTTTATTAATAAAACACTTTATTCTGAAACTTGAGATAAATACTTTTTAAAAACCGGAATTGTAGTGTAAGATTATTTTCTTCAGACACTTTCCCTAATGATAATTGCTTTTCTCAGTAGCAAACTTAAGCGAAATCATTTATACCGAAGTTTCATTTATGTATTATTCAACCGTAGTTATTTCTCAGGTTACAATGTGAATGCCATTATCTAACTAGAGCACACTCCAGTCATATTTTAGTTAATTTTATGCTTGAATAATAGCTTGAAAACGAGATGTTTATTACTTAATATTTATTCATTGTTTGGAGTATTTGCTGTGATAATATTATTAAATGATAAATTAAATAACGTAACTGCAGTGTATTATAAAAAGAATTGTTTGCATTTGTAATTTTCATGTCAAAACCACTTAGATGACGGAAATGAAACTTCTGCTAACATGTTATGCATGATTTCCTTTGTGACATGGGGCTATATTCAATTAAAATTTGTAACATAGTTCTTCAAGTTAAACTTAATGAAGCTTTATAAAGTGAATTGCTAATAATTACATAATTAATCAATAATTTTTTTCATTTATTACTTCATTTTGTTTCAAAGATATTCAACAACAAGAAAGCTGTTATCTAAAATGAGCTTGAAAAGGTTCATTATTTGGTTTATCTGGGTTGGTTTTTTTTCTACTGATAATTTTTTTTCTTCCTTCCATAGATTTTAAACGCGATAATTTAAACCTCATCTATAGTTTCTCCAACATCGTTATCACTGTCAAATCTACGCCTTTTAAATGTTCTTTTAACCCAGAAAAGAAGTACAAATCACTGCTCGCAAAATCCTGGAAAATCCTTGAAAACTTACTCAGTATATTTTGCTGGCAGCGATATTTAAGCACCACACAAATTTAAGTTTCTTTTATTTTGATCACAACTTTGCCTGGGAATACTTCTTGAATAGCTACCATTTGATAAGTTACTGAAATACATGCTTTATCGATGTGTAAATCTCGTGTAATATATGTACTAGAGAATTTTCATAACTTTTCCAACGTGCTTGAAGAAGTATTTAATCATTGCAACATAGTTTGAAAAATGTTTTCGTATGAAGAAAACATTTTAATGATCGTTTCAAGGATCTTATAGGTCAAAATAAACTTATGAGCTATAAAAATAAAGAATTATAATGGATCATAATAAAAATGGGAATGTGTTTAGTGTTATCAATTTTTTTTAATAGACAATTATTTATTAAATGCAGCTACATAAATATTATGAGAAGATTAAATCCATTGTAAATTAAATAGATAGTAAAGGATTTAATTTTTTTTTCTTGTTATTTTTTAAAAGTAGAAAAATATTTTTCGTTATATTTATATTTATTCAACCATATTTTATTAACAGCAAACATAAAGTTGCAATCATTTTTATCGAAATCAATTTTCGTCGAAATTTTTTCCAATCAATGTTTGAGTAAAATATTTATCTAGTTATTGATTGAGAAATAACATGTCGTAAAATCAACAGTGTTTTTTAATCTAAAAATTTTTTAGCAAAAATTGATTATAAACTTTTACAATAAACGGCTTTCTCAATTTATTATGGAAATTTTTGGAATTTTTGTAGTACAATTTCACTCTGATTGTTATGTTTTTTTACCCTTGTGCAAGAATAGCTTTCAATGATTCTAAATCCCTCCTTGAAAAAGGATGAACAACTTTAATATCAGAATCTAATATCTTGTCATCATCTTTAATAGTAATATATTTCTCAAACAAATAATTTAATACCTCTATCAATGTTAATTTTTTATTTTTATCAACAATATCTTCAATATTAAAATTGATTCTTTTTTGTTTACTAAATTTATATTCATTCAATATAGTCTGACAATCTGTTATGATACAAGAAACTTGAAGATGATTGCTTTTTACAACATTGGCATCAATAATCACTGCTGGGTATGAATTACCAGGACAATCGTACTCCAATAATGTGTTTAACACGTAAACATAACCATTACAAGCCCAGATGTACCAGTCGAAGGGATGAACAATAATTAATCGGTCACAGTTATGTTCTGTAGATCTGTCATAAATTTCAAAATACGTCGGATGGAAATTGTACTGACTTGAGACACGACTATACATTGTACCTATACTTGGATAGGAGCTTATTATTGTTGTTGCTTTGATGGAGAGAAATAGGAAGATTAGGACCCAATAAATTAATGAAATAGTGGATTCTGATATATTTAGATTAAGTTTCATCATTGTTTTGATAAAGATAAAAAATAATCGTTATCGTTACTATTAATAAGATAAACAATTTCAAAAATACTATAATGCTAAAAACAATGAACAACAAAGTACTAATACATAACAAAATAAAATTGTATGGTAAAAAAACTTTTAGCTTGGATAGAATATAGAATAACATTTTTCTCATCTCGAAAGCTTTTTCAACAATTAGTAATAATTTTTTGTTAAAATTATTTCATTTTGATTGTTTTCGGGTAAGTAATCACTATAATTTATTCTAGTCAGAATTTTCGTTCACCAAGCTCTCAATTAAGCTAGAAAATACCTGAAAAATTTCTACAATACTCGGGTATTTTTTCATTAAGTTCGAAACAAACTCTTTACAAAATTAACCCTTTTGTAGTCAGCTTAATTGATCGAGTACCAAGAGCAAAGGTAGGTAGGGTGGGTATGGTTGATCGGTTTCACAGCATCACCAAGCTGAATTCCAAATCCCAAGTATTATTGATTTCTCTTGGTATTAGACTTAGATATTTTATCAAGTTTAATTCAGAGATAATAAGAATTCTTTTATCAATATTTAAAAGTAAATAAATTCTTTTGATTATAAATAAAATAGATTTAATGTAATAATCATTAAATACATTATTTTTATCATTATAATTAAAATAGATTAAATTAAAAAAAACTTCCTCTAACCATCATGTCTTATAATTTAAATGTCAATTTTAGTTTTAAAAAAAAAAAAGGCATTAGAATTGCAGATGTCACTTAATAAAAAATGTAGCTAATAATTTGTGAAAATTTAATTTAATTCTTTTGACGTCATGGTTTCAAATAGAATAGAAATTTGATAAAATGTAACTTATTTTACTTGACATATATTTTTTTTTCTAGAACATATGGTAATTATCAATTAATTCTTGTCTTAAGTAATGAAAAGTTAATTAATGAAATAAATGTGAATAGTAAATTTTTTATGCATAGAGGTAAAAAGTCTGCCAAAGTACTACTCAGTTATTCATTTATCTTAGGACTGCTGTCTACAGACACAACTCACCGCTCTTTTGAATATCTAGTCACGTTCTCGATTAAGTCAGAAGGCTCTATTACTAGTTAAGTCTACTACATAGTATATACGGACTTAAACGATAAGTAGAGTTATTGTTCGAGAATATCACTTTCAGCTGCAATATCAATACTTTTTACTTTTGAACTCCCTTTTTCCTCTTTGTTTCATTACTTCAATGAATTTTGTAGCTTTTCTAAAAGTTTCGAGAATTATTTTTGTCATCCGAAAAATTAGTAACTGTTTAATTAAATTAATTATTGAAATAATCGGTTTTTTAAAACTAATTTGAGTTGAAAAATATGATAGCTTAATACAAAGCTTACATATATATATGATAGATCAATGTAAATTTCGATTGTTAAACTGTGTTAAAATAACTCACATAAAGTGTGTTCAGTATGAAATTTCCATAAATAAATTCTAGAATTTAACACATCTTGAATTGTGTAAAAAGTGACTACAAAATTTAATAGTATTTTTACATGCAGTGATATCGTTTCAAATAATTGTAATTAAAAGAAAATATCACTAAGATGATAAAAAATCATAGAAAAATATTTAACATATTTTTAAATTGTGATTTAAGTTTTTGACTTTTACATTACAGTATTTTTGCTTTAGTGAAACTTTTCAATTGCCATGTGTTTCTAGATATTTATACGGATAAAAAGCTTTTTACAAGCTGAAAGCTTTTATTTGTCGTGTATGAATGGTCTTATTGAACAAAAGTCAAACGATTGTTTCATATACTTGAATAGAAATATACAATATAAATAAATATAAAATAAATACAATAAAAAAAAAATTGATATATTTTTTAATTGAAAAGGATTCGTGTCTTTTTATGAAACAGCTTTTTACTTCTGTTAACTAACGGGCAGAAAATTGTTTTATTTTTCATTTTTTTCATGAAAAAAAAAATTTTTTTCTCTGAGAAGAAGCATATGCAAACAGTAAAATCATTCTTAGTATGTAGATAATACGGTCCTTGGTGTGTATAAATCCGTATGAGCTTAAGCTAATACAATTTTCTTTGGATTAATATTGTTTTTATACAGTAAATAATTAAAAATGCTTTTTCTTCTAGAAAATAATTTTATTTTTTCTAAAGATTAAATAGAGATATTGAAAGAAAAATGAATTAAAGTTATAAAAAAAAATCTAAAACAAAAATATGAAAACCCTCTATGAATTTATTTATCATTCAATTTATTTTTTTGCAAATCTATAAGTTATTGATATTTTTAATCTAAAACTCATATATTTTCGTCATAATATAAATCCCTTTTACACAACGGAAATAAGATTTATTGAATAAAAAAATACAAAATTATGTGACATACATAAATCGAAATCAAAGTTGATTGAAATACGATCACTGATTCAGTCGAAACATCGGAAATGGAATTCATCTTTGGATTTTGATGTAAACTCATTTCCTTTCTACCATGAAGTGAATATACCGTCGCAAACAAATCACGCTGTTTTCTATTAATCCGTAAATACGCATTTATCGATTCCTTCATTCTAAAAAAAAAAGCCGACCCTTTAATTAAATTTAAAATTACCCCTTGTTCCAATCAAAAAATTTCTGAGAAAGCACTTTTTTCTAACTTAAAATGGATTTTTTCTAGGAACAAAAAATACATGAAATATGGAATAAAAAATAACACGAAAGGATTTAAAATAACAACGATGAAAAGATTAAAAGCTCAGAAAAAATAAAAATGCTAAGTCATGCAAATTTGTGGTAAAAAAGAATAAAGTTTGTACACTCAAGATGCGATAACTTGGATAGTAGGGATGAGGAGAGAAAGGATTTCGTGACTGCATACGTAGCCAAGTGTGCAAGTAAAGACCAAGTTAGGACTTTAATTCATATTTTAAAGTGCACTGAAATATACAAAAACCCGGATGATAATATAATGCGTATGAATTGTGGGAAAAAGTGTAGCAAATGCAAAATGAATGACGCATGCTGTGTTGCAAGAAGATAATATACAATGCACCATCTGCAAAGAATGTGTGTACAGATATGTTTTCGAGAATTCGACATGAATAGACTATAAAGAACTCGACTTTTGCACAAGCTGTATATATTTATATCAGAGAAAATATGGCGTGAAGAATTGATACTATTTGAGAGACAATTGATACATATGATGAAATGTTGAGAGAAAAATTGATTAAATAGAAGAGAAAGGAAGAACAGAATATTTCATGAAAGAAGAATATTTAATTTAGATTTTTTTACAAGTGTAATGATGTAGTAAAATGTAGTTATTTGAGTTAAAATTGCTTGAAAAAGTGTCCTCACAATGTTGAGTTGAAAGCTCATTTTGCATAGTTTTTATCTTGAAATACAATAAAAAAAATTAGACATTGAACATATCTCGGGTCAAAAAATAAAGTCTGTTTTTTGTCTAATATGAAAAATCTGCTTTTAGTAGAAATAGTGAACGATCAGACCAAAAACAGTACTTGACCAACAAAAAAAGGACTAAATTTTTTGATCCAAGTCTATAGATAGTATTAGTTTCATATTTATTTCATATTTTTAAAGCTAAAAGGTTGTAAGAGGCTTTGCAAAATAGGAATAAATACTAAAAACCATGTAAAAATGAATAAGTGCTTTTGTTCAGTCAATTTTTATTTTTTTTTTTTTAAACTGATTAAGTTTAGTTAATCGATTCAATATATTGAAAAATTGAGTTATCATATTAATGGATAAAAAAAGCACTCAAACCTGAATTCTTTTATTTAGTTCAATTTCTAATAATTTTCAACAATCAATAATAATATTTTGTAAACAGTGATTTTACAATGAATGTTAATAATAAAAAATCGAAATTAAAACAATTTTTTACTTCAAAAAGCTACATTTCATCAAGTTTTTGCAATAAATTGAATAAAAAGTTACTTTTCTCGACCACATTCATAATTCCAATAGTCACCAAAAAATGATAGATATCCAAACCAATATCAAATATGAATCGGTTATGCACTGATATATCTTCGATTAGATTCATAAAAACAAGAATCGTTCAAAAGGTTTAACCATTTCTCGTGATTCATTAATTCAATAACTGATAAAAGCAATCACTTCTACCAACATTTCTGGTAATCAATTTCTTCCATCAATATTTCCACCAATTAATTAAAGAGGACCACAATAAAAAGGACTAAATTTAAAATACGTGAGCTATCAAATGCCTCTTGAAATAATAATCTAAAATTTATCATCACATCCAACATGACTGCATTTGATTAGAAAAAAAATACATTTTCACTCATGTATATAAATGAAGCGAAGATTATAATTATTCATAGTGACAATCAAGCAACAGATATTTCCTGTCGAAATCAAGGAACAATACAAACTAATGGATGAAAGCATCAGATAGTGTATTATGCATACATGAACAACATGATAAATGGTGATAACGTTATATTTTTAATTGCTTATTCATTCGCATAGAAAGATTCTATCATTTTTTGTCATTTAACTTGGACAATTCAGTGATTGTCAAAGTTTTATAGGTATTGAATAGAGCCGCTTTGGAATTAGATTCCTATCTATTGATACCCTTGTCAAAATAATCTAGTATGTGATTATGTAATGGAATAGCAACTATGGAATTTAGCAGTGCACCGCATCAAGTGGTACAGCATATTTTCACAAATATGTTCATATTCATTCAAGTGTTTATTGTATATCCATATATTTTAATCACAATAGGTATATAGTCTAGAGGCAAAAATGAAATTTATGTTCTTCATCAGTTAGTCTGGATAATTGCAAATATTTATGTTATTTATTATTAGCTCTGGGACATTTAAATTAGCTTCATCAATTTTGAGCTTATTAGGTAGTTAATGAGTAAAAAATTACTCATAATAGTGATGCTATTTGTTAATTTATTTCAATTATTATTTAATATACCAGAATATTATTATGAGAATAAATGATAACTTTAGTTTATTTTTAGTTTTTATTGTCATTTATTATTGTACGGAAGTCTAAAAGACATTTTAATGATGCATTTGTTCATTTTTCGGACTTAACAAGATCAAAAAAAAAAATCTTTCTCATTTTCATCCGCTTGAGAAAATTTTCCCACAACACGAAATACTAGTCCAGCAATCATATAATCTTAGAGTAGAAACTTGGTTGAGTAATTACACACAATGAGAAAAAGAGCGTAACAATGAAAAATATTCTCATTACGATGTGTCGAAACTTTTTTTTTTAATTTAGTTAAAATATTAAGAAGATTCATTCATTAATTATATTAGTGTCCTCACACATTTTTGAACTTTGAAAAAAAAACCTTCCATAACTTTTTTCAAACCACTTGTATGCTGAATGAATAGATGACTCAGACAGTAAATAATTAATATTCTACATAACGAAGATTACTTTTACTGGAGATTGTCGACGACCTTAACTTGTGTAACATGTTCGTGGATCAGAGACAATATCCAGTTAGTAATTCAGTCATATCTGAATAACGGGAATTGCATTTGTCTACCTATTAGGGAAAGACATGCTTGAGTACATTCCATTACCAATAACAACTAGACAAGTTTAAGAATAATCAAACACTTCCTCTTTCTTTTTGATTAATTATCAAAATAAAATTGTTATAGGTTAAAATAACTTTAAAGACTTTCTGTAAACCGATAACTGTATTAATTATTTAATATATTCAGTAAGTAAATACTTACAAAACAAATCCAGATGATATCCCAGACATTTTTTCTCTTTCTCTATTTTCTCACGAGACTAAATTAATTTGTTCATTTCATTATCACTTAATTTTAGAGTTTACTTTAATCAACTTTTGTTTATTAGAATGTATAAAAATAACAAACAATCTTGAATGAATATTAAAATTAAACGTAACAATTTGTTTATTGCACCACGAGACTGATTCTTAGCGTCTTCGGTCCTTTCGGAGTCTGAAAATTTTACTTTCTAATTATAAATGATGTAAAAATGCGATTGACTTTCACTCGAAAAGTTTTGATCACGTTAATAAATTTTTTCACGTTAAAATTTGCCGAATTGGTGACGGAATTAATAAAATACCGTCAACATTCTCGGAGGAAAGATTTTACAGGCCATGTTCACCTGTAGAAAAACTGGAATAGCTTTTACTTGAAACGACAAGTTAAAGTGGTATCGCCATCTGGTGTTAGCTGGTGTAACTACAATATCCCCTCCATTTCATATAGCAAGAATTCACACATGTATTGTATGTATATCACATACATACACATAAATTACTTATGTAGTCGTTGGCTCTTTATATTATATAAATGATTGACCATTTCATAATAATAATGAGTAGTAAAGTAATTGACCTATGCATAAATTTATATGTAGCTCTCAGAAAATGGAAATAAGGTAATTATCAATGTCTTAGCACTTTCTAACAAGATTATTAAATAAAAATAATTATTAACTATACAATTTTATTTTATGTAGACATTACATTTTGTTTGGTACATATATAATATGTACATATTATGTACATACTAATATTCACATAAAACTTAGCCTGTATTTATATATTAAAAAATTTTCAATTACAACCATAATGAGAAATACAATTCTGATCCTATTGAAAAAGAAGTTGTTAAATGGAATTCTGTTGATGAAAATATTATATTGTATTTGTTATATCAAATATCAAGATTAATGCTATGCTCCAAAAATTTAATTAAAATATGAATCACAAATGAAATATTTTTAATGCTAAGAATTACAATTGAAAAACGAAATTATTATTACTCAAATAACTTGTTTTCAAAGATTTCTTCATATTTCAAATAGAATAAAATTCTCAAAAAATGATTATGAATTATTAACTTTAATAAAAATAAATTATTTCAATTCGGATTTCAAATGTAAAATTTAACTTTATTGTGAAAATGAATGTTTTACATTTATGAAAGTATGTATTAGGTATGATTGTTTTAAATTCAATTTCCAAGGACAATTGACCATTGGTACATGTGAAAATATTAAATTCTAATTAATTTACTGTTATCTATAATAATATAATTGTACATAATAAAGTCTAATTAAGCCACTGGAGGTTTTAAATAGATATAGGATTCGAAAAGTAAATCGTCTTTTCTTGAGTTTAAACTCTTTTTGATCAAATAACTATATAAAAAATGAAAATTCTATATAATCTTGGAAATATAAGTGAACAAAATATTTAATGGGCTATATTCCGTGAAGACTTTGAGCGGAATAAGATGCAATTAGTTTTTTGCTCTGACTATAAATGTTCTTTATCTAAATTACTCTTACATATTAGTTGAATGTTTCGTTAAGTATTCTGTGTCTAGATGTTCATTTTTTATTTTCTAATGAAAAATGAAACAGACTTGTAGCCCAAAAATTAGTCAAATGGAAGTCTCATCATATGTATAATAAGAAATGTGATTGCTTTGTCGTTAAATTTTCTTCAACATTTGGAAATTCTAATATCAATTGATTAAACTTAAAGATTCTTAAATTAAAGATTAATTGATTCTTCCCTCACTGATATTTGATTAAAAAAATAGTTCTTTTCAGAATTCCTACGATATCTTTTCTTGTAGCTCGTTCTGATTTTTTTACAAAAATATTCAACAAATTAAAATTTTAGTACATTTTGATAAAAAAGATAGTCGAAACAAGTGTAACAAACAAAAATTTCTATGACTATAAAGTCATATACTGAAATATTAATCGATCAAGTTTCTATTTTTCTTGAATTTGAATTAAACCTCCGTAATTGTTTTAACTGTGTCGATGGTCATATTATTAGATTATATATTTATATATACACACATAAAATTTATATGTATATATACATTATGCTTGTTAATAATAATCTCGCATTATTTATTTCTCACCCATATTTATCTCTGATTAATTAACGTAGGTACGCACTTTATCAACAATCACTCAGTTTTCTTTTTTTTCTAATTTTTATAATTGCTCATATTTAATTTATTTTCAAAACTACGTCACCAAAAAAGAGAAAAAAAAGAAAACAGTTAACTAAGCAAGATTAAATTATGCAGGCTTTTGTGAACCTTTCTTGCCAATTAGAGACTTGTGGATGTGTGGAATAACACCTAAAATAGAGTTATAACAGTTATGATCATTGTAATTATTGAAATGTTATCAATACATTCAACATTCAAAAACAAATTAAAATTACCTCCGCCTGCAATGGTAGCTTTTATGAGACTGTCAAGTTCCTCATCTCCTCGAATTGCAAGTTGTAAATGCCTTGGAGTGATACGTTTTACTTTCAAGTCTTTCGATGCATTACCCGCCAATTCCAAGACCTAAAAAATAGAAAATTTAATTACATATCGAATTTAATAAATTATATTATTATTAATGCAAAAATATAACAAAAAAAAAGTGTAATTATTTAAAATAAAAAATTCGAATTTAATTATTTATGTAATAAAAATTGTGATCGTAAGAAAAAATAATTTTTACAATTTTTCTAAATAAAATTCTCAGTAAAAGGAAAAAAGCGCGGGAAGGCGCCATATTGCTTTTAGCTTTATTACCATGACGAAAGTATAGATCACTACGTAAAGTGCGTCATCCATATATAATTTATTTCAAATATTAAATTGTTGGTGAATAATTTACTGATCTATTTCATAAAAATTAAGATTACTATTGTGGTGTTTTAATAGGAAAAACATTCATTAATAAAATATAAATCCATAACATACCTCTGCGGTAAGATATTCCAAAATTGCAGCACTGTAAACTGCTGCTGTAGCACCCACTCTTCCATGGCTTGTTGTTCGATTTTTTAAATGCCTATGAATTCTACCAACTGGGAACTGTAATTAAAAATTGATAATTAAGATACAAGTATAAATAGCTATTAATTGATGTCAAAATTTATAAGATCATTATTTAAATGGATTAAGTATAGATAAAGTTAATACAAGTGAAATATAATGTAAAATGTAAGATTCATTCCAAAAACATCAGACCAACGCGTCAACAACTTTTTCATTTAGAATTATCGAGCAACTGTTAATCAGTATTTGCCACTAACTATTACATATCAGAAATTATATTTTATCATTTCTTTCTGGATTTTATCAGTAATTAACAATCAACGATGCATATGTTAGTTTTTTGAACAGCCTAAATGTATTATTTTGGCAGCACACCCAAATGCTTGGTGCATGAAACAACTTTAGCATTGAGTATCGAACGATTCCATTACATGTAATAGGTTTTCGTGAGCTTTGTAACTTTCAACGGAAGAGTTTCATCATTCAATAGAATTACGTTTCAATTTATCTGCCTTAGTTAAGCTTATTAAATATATTTTCTTTAAAGTTCTGGTGTTTTTTTGATCAAACTATATGATTTGATGTTAAATATTCGAATCATAAACATTAAAGCAAACTTATTTATTCAAAAATATATAAATTAAATATAATATCATTTATTAATTGCTTTTAAATGACCTTTTTTTCGTTCTACATTTTCTAAAAAATACCATTAATTTAAAAATTTTGATAATCAGATGATCAGAACAATTCATATGATTCATTATTCATTTCAAACTTAAAGATATTTTCATTATCAGTAATTTTTAAACAATAAAGAAAATCAATTTGTTATTAAATATTAATATTCATTTCTAATTAAAATAAAAGTAATATCCAGTTGATATTAATTTCTTCACAAATCTGAATTTGAAAAGCTTTTCGAAAGGATTAAACAGATAAACAGAGAGTGTATCAAGTGTTTGTAAAGGAAAGAAAACATGAAAACGCTCCGGTCCGATTCCTTGTTTGAAAAGGTAAAACTTAAAACAAGAAAATACGTTATAAATATGTTAAATATTTTTTATTAGACGATTATATATCAATTTTTCATGAAATGTCTTATGCATATTACTTTGAATTAAAAACTGAAGGTTTTTGTCACTTCTGACGACAAAAATATCATACAAAATAGAAAATTAAATGAAATCGATTAACGAATAAACAAGATTTTCGGCGCCAACTTCATTTGAGATCAAAAATAAACTAAGAATGATTAAACAAGATGAGTTTACTGTCTTAAATGTGAATTTTATGATAGAAAAAATAACTGAGAAATTGATAAATGATAGATTAATAAAACAAATGAAACAGAAAATGGTGTAAACTGACCTGCAAGCCTGCCCTCGCCGAACGAGAGACCGCCTTTGCTTTAGCCTTACCGGAATCCTTGCCAGTTTTTCCGCCAGCCTATAGTCACAAAAAATCACTAATTAGTATACACACTAGATTAATCGAACTTTATTAGTATGTCTTTTAATGATAATATGGCGACTTAACGTATTTTTCATTATTGGATGCCGACGGTACTTATTATGAACTTATGGATACTCACCATTACGCTTCTAGAACCGTTTACGTTTCAACTATACGACAGATTGACGCAGAATACAGAGACGACGCCGTTGTAGACTGTGATCCCGCCAAATACGCTTGGCGCTATCGGCGTGTCTTGCCAGTGTGCCACGTGACTATTTTTAACCAATCATGAGCGTGACATTAATCTACTACGATGCCATCTACTGAGTAATATTTTAGACGCATGGTATGAGTGAACTTGGAACATTATTATACATATTCTAGTGATGAGGAGACTGCGCATTGGTGTAGTGGGGGATTAAGATGTTTGACGAAAGTAAGTACAATAGAGGAATGAAATGAGACGATTTTTTTATTTTTAAAATAGTCGGAATTTTTTGGATTTCATGAATACACCTACAATAATGAATTGACATGAACAATAATGAATCAACTGCCATTTTAAAGTTTCATGTAAAAAGATTCTTGTATTTTTTTTTTTTATTACTTTGTTTCAAGAGTCAATTTTTTTAATGCTATCTATAAATAACTCTAGAATCAAAATAATTGAAGAGAAATGAATGTTTGTTGAGTTAATGTCTAGTTTTTTCAACAATCATGTTTTATTCAATAAATTAATGTGACATCAACGTTTAATCTACGTTGTATAAAATGAATGAGTAATTAAACAGTTACTAAGTTACTTAAATAAAACTATAAAATTCATTGAATAAATTCATACAATAATTTTGAGATATTTTAAATAATTTTCGAAACAACAGCATTCCTTTCTTAAAATTTTGACAGTGATGTCTTCCAAGTTAAATATAAAATTTGAAAAAATGATCTTTAAATAATAATTTGGCATCTATCAAAAAAAATATCTAAATTAAGTTTTTTTTCATTTCCAAGTGAACTGAAAACATTTATATTTACTATTTATCAAAAAAAAATATTTGACATAGAATTATTGATTTATTTGTATTGTTTGTGTATATAATGGATTTAAATTTTCAAAGCAAATGCAATTATTGAATCAGTAGCATCATTGGTAGTCAAGGATAGAATATCATTTTACCTTTAATTAATTATTTGTCTTAAAAAGTACCAAATATTGTTCAAGAGGTTTAATATATTCAATTATTGATTTTCTATGAAAAGATTACTATAATTTTTTATTAAAATAAATACAAAATGCTATAAATTGTATTATAAGTGTTATATCTGATTTGATATCAAGTATTATCTTCACTAGTTCTCTAAATATTTAATGCCTGCATCATGATGTATATTTAACTTAATATAAGCTTATGGAAGTTATTTAAAGCTTTGACTATAATTGACTTTGTTATGTTAGATATAATGAAGAGAATTTCACTGATTATGTAGAAAAATAACAAATCCTAAATTATGTGTAATATATATTATCAAATGATAAAAAATATTTAAAAAATCATAACCATTAGAATATATATTTTTGGTAAAATAAACAATTTTAGCATGAGAGAAGAATTCCTTTGGGTTAAATGAATTATATAGTATATTATAAACGGAAATCACTCCGTATTATTAAAATTCCAAAAATTAAATTATCTATAACTATTTTTAAAGATATTAAGCAGTAGTTATTGATCGAAAATTTCTTCTCTTGCAATAAATGTGATCGTTTTTAATTTAAATAGATAAGTGTAAATAAGTGTTTAAAGACTATATTTTTTTTGTATTTCTCTTGTAAATTTAATTATTCTTAATCGTGAATCGCTTCTGTCAATTCGCCACATTTATCTTCCAAATCATCCTAAAAAAGAACAAATGAAATTATTAAATAACTTTTGTACGGAGTAATAAAAATTTTACTTATATTAATATTATCATTTTAACCTCGTCAAGCTGTAAACATTTTCCCCACTCTTTCAAGGTAATTTTATGATCGTTATCTACATCGCAACCATCAAGGAATGGTGCAATACAGTGCTCCAAAGCCATCAATGGAGCTCGAATGGGGAAAAGCTCGTGACGTGATACTGATCGATCATGAGGATGGCCATCCAAATCACACCATTTCCAAATAGCAGCATTAGTCCAACGTAATGTCATATTAGTTTCTGCTTCTCTCTGCATTTTCAAGAAATGAGATGGTAATTCTTGACGGTCTGCAAGATCACGCATGATGTTGAAAAGCCAATCTCGCATCCTTCTGGGAAAGTCTAACATGTCTTGTTCTTTACACATCTAGAAACATATTAAAGTATTGAATAACTAATTTTATTGTTCAAAGCTATTAAAATAATATACTTTTTTATCTCTACAACTTACAGGCATTTGTCGACAATGTCCATAATATTCAATATGAACGTGTTGATAATCAGGACCTCTGCATCTATCATCCCCAGAATCACAGAAACAACGAGCTTGATAGACTTCACAATCGCTCCCAAATGTTTCGTTGTAGTTGGTACAAACCTTGCGACGAGGATCTCTTTCTTCATCACAAGTTTCTATGCAAACACACTCAGCACCACCTTCCTCTGTTACCTAACAATTAAATTAATCTTTATTCAATTTTCTCATAAAAAATCATTACTAATTTTTCAACTTAGAGAAGCTGTTTCAAACCTTGCAAACTCGACCAGCTCCACAATGTTTATCCATGCATGGATCCATTCGAAGATCAGGGCTATCATCATCTGAGTTTTTATCCATTTCATTTGAAGCATCATTTCCTAATAGATTCATCACCTCTTGAGGAAATAGTGGAGATTCTCTAGTACGATGTCGACGAGCTTGTCTCTAAACAAACATAGGGATTGCAATCAATATAAAGACTATTCATTCTTATTGTAATTTCATTATACTATTAAATTTATTCCATGATTGAAGCATAAAAAAACTCGATAAAACAAATTCATTCGAAAAATAAGCCATTGAAAAAGTAAATCAGAATTATCATCATTATAGAAAACAGTTTTTAGGGTGTAATCTCTTCAATATTTACTTAACTGTGCAAATAAAGGGCAATGTTCAAGCGTAATGCACGTATATTTGTGTGTGTGTAACTCCATAATAACTGCTGGATCAATTGTAATAGTGTTCAGTGTCTATGGGTTTGGTACATCTCTTTGGAATAAATGATTTCACAAATGTATTTAATTTTGTATGAATTGAAAAAAATTCATTAAAAACATCTTTTTATAATTACTTCAACAATTATAGTGTGCTTCAAGTGTTGATTATTAAAAGGGTGCTGAAATTAGCATCATCTACTGCAAGTACATCAAATATCACAATAATATATTTTTAATATAATAATACTATTTAGAAAAATAAAGTTTTAAGTATATGATTGGATAAATATTCTGTCAAGTTTAGATTTTATTTCTTGAGAATTTTGAAGAATTTTTTTAGTAGGGAAAACCAAAATCAAATAATTAGACTTATTCATGAATGAAATTTTTTATCATTAACAAATTCGTTTTGTAGTGTGTCTCTTAAAACCTGAAAAGCATTCAGGACTATACTTACTAATCTTTTGAGTCTATCTTCTGAACTCGATATAACATCAGTGATAAGTAAGCTCCACAAAAATGCTATCCATAGCAACTGCAGTTTGGCCCGCATTGCGATTGCTCTGAAAGAATCAAAAGCTGAAATTAACTCTAATTAAAATGCTAATAATATATTTATAGATTATTTAAAAACAGCTTAATAATAGGTATGCATATTCTGGATTATAATTTCTTTCATTTCAATAATGCATTTTGCATCCATTAATATTAATAAAGCTCAAAAATTACAGGCATAAAATTATTTATTAAAATATTATTAAGTTCTATTCTTCTAATATTTTTAAATTTAAATATTTCAAATTGTTTCATCAGTATAATTGATGAAATCTTTGTATTACGAATATTGATCTGGCGGAGGAATATCTTTCTTAGTTATACCGAGTAGTTATGAAATGCTCGGAAATTGAGATAAATTAGAAACAGCAAACGTTCAACAGTTGCTGTGCGTCTTCTCTCTGAATACGCATTACGCGTATCCACCCACAAAACGTAGCGCGCATTGACATTAACACATTCTTCAAAGAATTCATAATATTTAAGCGATTATATGTATATATGTATATCTATATTTAGTACAGAAATTGTATAGAACTACTTTTCTCATAAGCTACTTGTTTTAATTTTCAAAAATTTTCTCCAATTCAAACAATTTTATATTAATTTTAATTTTTTATTTAAAAAATTCACTCTATTCAGGAACAGTTTTATAAAAAATGCTTTAAACTATATTTTATTGAAATATTTTTCTATACATTGAAATTTTTTGCCATAAATCATATTATTTATTTCAAACTATTATTCAGATTATAATAAAATTTTTGCATATTTTTTTTGTAAAAAAATAAAAATTTATTTCAATAAAATTGTAAAAAATTATGAGATAGAGAATAAAAAATTTAATATCATTGAATTAAAAGCTTGGAAAATAAATCCTAACATGAATTTTTAATTAAAAATTTCACCTTTCCTGTTCTCACTTCTGATGCTTATAAAAATAAAAATAAATGTATTCATACGAAATATGTGATAACATGAGCAAATTTATTTTATCTATTTCGTGATCAATAAAATTACTTACTTGAAATGAATACTGATGTTGAAAATAGTTGGAATAAAATAATAAATACGAATAAGATAGAATATGCAACGATGTCTGGATTGGATGCTGGAACAACGAATACTGCGCTCACTTTCTTTGACTTTATTTCAAGTTTCCGTCCGTATCTGACTCAATTCAAATGACCTCAACGCCTTCATACCCTCAACACTGTTAAATCTTTCTACCACATGTAATGTTGATATTTTGTATCAGTCGTCTCCAACTTTTTTGTTTCTTTTATGCTCCATTTTTTGTTCATAGCCAGTTTTACAGATGATTTTATAGAAAAATTTGGATTGAAAATAAAAATAAAATATTTTGTGTATAGATCATGTTTTCTTTAAAAAAAATCTTTGGAAGTAGAGAAAATATTTTCTGAAGTTAAGAAAACTCAAGTTTTCAACATCCAGTATTTTTTTATGACCACGTAAATATTTTATTCCAGTATAAAAAGCTTTTTTTCCATAAATTCAGTTTTTAGTTGTGATGTATTTTTAGAGTGTACATTAATATACTTTTTGAAAAATGTAATTATCTAAAATTGCCAACATGAATTTTTTATTTTTGAATGCTTTCTAGTTTGAAAATACTTTTTTTTTTATAATAAATTCTAGTTCTTTTCAAATATTTGTATCCCTTTATATTGAAATAGCAATATGCTACTAATAACTTTCTTCAATCATTCTAACAATATACCTTTTGGTTCAACAAGCACATATTCCAGTTATGAATGTCATAAAACTTCGTTACTTCTATGTTCAAGAATATAACTCGCTGTAAATTGAAGGATTTTATTGTGTAAGAGCATGACTAAAATATTTCCAACAATTTTTTATAAATAATATTAAATTTTTCAAATATTGAACCATTTTGTACTTATTTTATTCAATATATTTTCTCATATTTATCATTGAAAATAATTAAGTAAATTTAAACATTTAGAGTACAAGTGGATCAGAAATGGTTTTTTCAAAAATATTAATTTCAGAATGATAAAAGATTCTGATGTAACGAATTAATTTATTCTTTCTATATTATTTAATAACTAAGTGAAAGAAATACCACCATAAACAACTTCATTTGGAAAAATATAGTTAGAGAATATATGACATGCTCTATCTAGAAAATTTTATCGATCTGTAGATTAGAAGAAAGTGGGGGGTTATTTTGCCTTTCGAAGAGAGTAAATTTTATCTTACAGCCGTTGAGTTTATGTTCAAATTGCAGGAGCATATCAATCTGCAATAAATTTCAAAAAAATTTATGTACATAACAATATATGAGAATCCTTTGTCATATAAATGTAGATCTCAAGAAAGTATTATGAGAAGAAATTTGAAGAGAATAGTCAGTAAAGAAACTTGATACATGTGAATCTTAGAATGGTGATCAAATGATCGTTGATACCTCATTAGTCATCGCAAGTACTTTTTATAAAATTACTTGTGATATCTTATTGCAAATTCACTGTGATTTAAACATTATTTCATCTTTCTATATTATTTAGTTTGTCATGCTGTGCTGTACGAGTAAAATATTGTATTGGTAGACTTAGATCCATTTATGATGTATGTGTATTTTATGATACAACATATAGACTCCATGTATAATAACAGACAATATTTTATCACATGATAATTGGTTTAAATTTTTCATACCTGACAGAAGAAAAAACTGAATAATCTTTTAATAATTTAAAAATTCTTTAAATATTCTGAAAAGTAAACAGAAAATCAATCGATACTGTATCCAACTTGTAGCATAAAAAATCAATATTAGTCTTGAAATCGGTTGTAGTTCAAACATTCACTCATATTACTCAACTTTAGCTGCTTTTATAAAAATATTTCTAAATTACCAGTGAATCTTTGCAGGAATCCAATGACAAGATTTTTTTTATTGCTCATTTGTTATTTATGGCATTTTCTTTTATAATCCTTGTTTGAAGATAAACATTAAAAATATAACTGAAATAAAATTGAATAAAATTTTAAGAGAAAATAGAAAAATTCGTTAAACTAACATTTTATACAATAATAATAATTGTAAATAGTGGAATTGAAATAATATGTAGTCTATAAACCAACTTACAACTCATTAGAATTTAAGTATTTTTGAATCAACATTAAACTGTTTAAACAATCAAGTCTCTCAATATTGTTTATTAATAGTACAATTATTTATAAATAAAGAATAATCAAGTTATGAATTTATCATAAATTTTTCGTTTATTTTGACTACTTGTTAATTAGTAAATTTATTGATTAGACTCATATGTAATAACAATAAGATTATAAATACTGTTAGTTACTTATTCAGTCTGTACTTAATCTATAAATTAATTAACTAAACCAAACAGATAAAATCAATTATGGTTTAGGAACTCCAAATTTCATTGCTTGGACTAACGCTTGGTGAATTTATAGTTGACAGAAATTGTACAGATATTCATAACATCAAATTAAGTGTGATTTGTATTTTCCTCATAAATTTTACCACAATTGTTTAAAACAGTTTATAGTAAAAATTTAACAATATTAGTCATTTTTGGAGTAATAAACAACACGTCGGTCTAAATCTCTATCCTCTTTTATCTCTCATTTTATCTCGGTTAAGAAGCAGCTGCTGGTTAACAGCGGCACAACTGTTCACAACAATAGCATCTGTCACAGAAACTATATATCACATCGTCCATAGAGTTTGTAAACAGCCCATACTCTTCATTGAAAATTTAATCAAACATTCAAATTAAAAAAAAAAATATCTTAAAAAAATAGTTAAATAAATTAAATCGTGGTTTTTATTTTTATAATTTATAATAATTAAGTATTAGTTGAAATATTGAAGAAAAAATACTAAAATAATTGATACGGCCCTGGAGCAGATGTTACGATTGGTTGAAATTGTGGGGGAGAGAGACCCACAATCCCTTGCAATCCCTCAAGCGCAATCGCTTGTTAGTGAGTCTCCCTTGGTCTCCCTTCTCCGCTTGGCAGCCTAACTATTCGGACGTATTTTATTTGTTGTTGCATTTAAGTGAATCTATTTAAACAGCCAACTTATTCGCGATATAAATAGTGTAATATACAGTCAATAACTTAGTTATTGTGTAATTAGTAGTTATTTAATTAAAATATATACATAAAATGGCTGATCAAGAGAATAAAGATTATACTGAAGACATCGCCGATCAAAACTTTGAACAGAACGGCGATGCTACCGCAAACGAGAGTGGAAATGGCGGCGACGGCAATGTTGCTGCCGGTGACGCCACAGAAAACGGCCAAGAATCACAGGATGACAAGTAAATTATTTATTTCTTATTTTATTTAGTATTATTTAATAAATATAATTGTTTATTTGTAACCTATATAAAAATCTTAGCTACTTTGTCGAAATTTCATAACATAGCAAAATGGCGCATGGAATCATGATGGAAATTTTTACTATTTTCATCCACTGGAATCGTATAGCAATTAATTTCTTTTCAAACATTTTTTCATTGATTTTTATAGTTTAAACTTTGCAATTGATTTGAATGAAAATATTTCTCAATTTTTTTTCATCTTTTACTATTGAAAAGCTTAAAGTTTGAAAGTGGAGTAGCCGGTCAGAAGAATTACAAGGACGCGTCTACCTAACGCCTATGACGACATTTAGAAATTATTCAGGATGTTTGTATGCATTAGTTTTTTTTTCATTGTATAATTATAGCATTTAAAGCTTTTTTATTTGAGCATTTTTTGTTGATAAACATCCTTGTAATTATTGTGTCTCAACATATACAGCATTAAAGCGGCAGTTTTTGTTTATGCATAGAGTTTTCTCCACTTATGGAAAATTAACGTACTATGACAGGATAACATTTAATTGATCATTCATTAGATCCAATATTCAATTAACATCTAATCAAAAGCACAAGAACTTAATATTTTTGAAGTTAAACAATTAAAATGTTCAGTAAACTTTTTACAATGATGGAAACTTTTTTATAGTTGTATTTATTATCATATATTAAGTTTTTAAATACTTTAATATCATGAAAACACATGCATTTATATTTATTATGTTCTCTTGACCCAGTTAATCAACATTCTATAATTCAACCAAAATTGGAGTAAAAAATTTTTCTAATTCATTTACAGTAAAATTTTCCAATTTATTAGTGGAGAATTGCCTATGTACGCTTTCGATTGTTAATATTGTAATGTACAATAAAACGTAGTTTGTTACTTGAAAAGTGATGCTCTGGACATAATGGAGTTTTGAATAAATTTGATTTAAAGAGAAATTAGTACATAAAATTCTACCTGGTAAGTTAATTGACGTTTATCTTTCTATAAAATGCTTGTAGAAATTGTTCTCGCGTCAATTTATCTGTTCACAAAATTAAGGATGGACGTCATCTCCAAATAATGGCGGCAATTCTAACAATGCAGATACCTCCAATAGCTATTGAATTGTTTGAAGTAAATGTTAGATGTATAAAATTTAAAAGTTGATTTAATTAGACATTCACTAATATTTATGGTCAATATCGTGAAGAATTATTGTAAATAATTATAAGGATGTTTAAAAACTTTTTAAATCTTATTCTAATGACTGCTACTCCTTATTAATTAGTAAATATAAATAATTAGTATAAAGTAAATGTTCTGAACAAATTAAAATGCATGCTTTGTTTCAAAATTAAAATTTTAAAAAGTAATTTAAATAATTTTAGAAGTTCTTATTTAATTATATAATTGAATATAAATTAAAACCTGATGATACAGATGTGCCATATTGAAAATTAGAAATTATTATAATTAATTGATAATAATTAATGAATATTTTACCGTTTCAGCTATACTTTGATCAAAATAAAATTAAAAAAAATTCAAAGTAATTCAATAAATACATTAACTTTTGTGTCGTAAAAAGCGCGAATTCTAATTTGTTTTGTGATAACTGTAAAAATTTTTTTATTTAAAGGGTTTAAAAATAAGAAAAATTTGTAATATCTGCTATAATACCAATTTCTAATGTCCTTTCATTGTAATTTACTTTTCCAATTAATTGTGATTAAATTTTATGAAATATTCTTTTTTATTACAGCTTAAAATTACAGTTACTTGTTTATGTAATTAATTCATTGATGTATAATAATTTTTACAAAAAATATTATAAATTTAAATGGATTGCTTTTTTCAATCAAGATTCATCAATTACTATCAGTAAAATTAAAATTTGGAGTTTTATTAATAACTGATTTGATGTTGTGATTAAATTATGATAAAAAAAGATCAATAAAATAATGAATAATAGTAATTATTGAAATATATCTCAGGGTTTGCAAGTGAGAAGTGTTCAACGTACCAAGTATCTTCATAATGTTCTCATCACAACTCAAGCACTGGAAAAATCGAGTCAAAAATCCAATCTAAAATCTAAAGAAATCAATAACTAAATAAAAAAAAAATCATCTGTCGCACAAAATATGAGAAATGTTTTCTGCTGGGTCACGCAGTAGAGTCTAATTAAATAAATTTACAAAGTAAAGATAAAGAAAAAAGCAAGTGTGTTGATATTTATATATATGTACATATATATGTTGGGCGTGACCAAAGCACAGAGTCACTAGGGCCAAAATTCATTAAAGACAACCATCGGGAGTGCGATTAACCCAGTTTATGTGGCTTGGTCTGCAGGTGAACAAACGACCCAGTGCGAATATGGGCAGGCGGACTCGCAACCGGCTGAATCCAACCGTCAACTGAGTACCGGCGAGTGACTGGTGCCCACGGTATTTATCACCAGCCCTAGACGATTTAATGCAGAATTAAAAAAAGATTAATATATATAAATATATATATACAATATATTCTTAAAAAATTTCAATATCAAACAAAAAAATGTTGAGCAAATTAACTTTATGAATATTCTACAAAGAAAATATCTAATGAATTTTGCCAATAATATCATCACACCAATTGTCAAATAACTAATTAAATAGTGAAAATATCGCAGCTCTTTCACAATTGTGTTTTAACGTAAACAAAAAGAAAAAACAATCATATCAATGAGACAATATTTCGATAAAAAATTTTTATTGTGGATTTTACGTATACATAAATCACTGCAAAGTAGTTTGATAAAAAGTTGCTGATTTTTTGCACATTCAGAGATCAATCATCCTTTTTCTCTTACTAAATATTTTTCTAGTGCGAATAATTACTTCTTTCATATTAGTATACTTTTTAATAAACATTAACTTTAAGATTTAATATTTTTTTTTTTAAACTTGTGTATTGGTAATTGTCAATTCTTAGGTCAATCAGCTGAGTTGAAAATATTAACTGAATGGGATTAACTTCATTATTGAATTGTTGTATTTTTAAAGTAAAGTAAAAGAAAACAAGCTTTAAGAAATTACATAAAATCAATATAATTGTTTCCTTTAGGCGCAGTTCTCTGGCAACTGGATTTTAAACTTAATTGAGCAGCATAAATAATTTAAAAATTTTACAAAAACAAAATTTTCATTGCTGTGATTATCTTTATTATATTCAAAATTTTTTTAATATTAATCACTTTTAGTTATTAAATTTATACACATAAATATTATTTCTACTTTAAAATTCAAGGTTTTGAATCATAAATGCAATTTGTTTTGATTTAATTTTATTTTTGTAGTCATTTTTCTTTTAACATGCTTTATTTTTTGACAATTACAGAAAACTCTTTTTTCCTTAACAGAGACATCATCTTGTTATAGGAATGGTATGACAACAATTAATTATTATTCTTACAATTGATAATTATTGTTGATATCTTGAGCAAAAGATAATTTTTTTTTTTCATTAATACATCCCTTTTTTTAATTTAATTTTAAAAGATATTCTCTACCTTTTTTTTTCTTATTATTTTTGTGCAATTTTTGACAGCAATTCTAGATGTTTCCAGGCGGTCGAGTCTAAAGTTCCTTTTGCAAATGGATTAATTAATTATTTAGTAACGTAATAATAATAGCCTTAAAATTCAATTGTTCGCGCAGCGTCAATTTAGTTGTAAATTAATTGTCAATTTATTGGTTCAAAGTTTATAGATAGCTCGAGTGTGAAAAAAAATTTAGTGCTTTCAATTTACATACACATTTTTACTGCAGAGGCTATGATTTGTATCTTGCAATCATTTTTTTTTTCGATTAATTTGCAGGTCGGCCAGTGACAGTAATCAGGAATCACTCAATGATAGGTATATTGATTGCTCTTATGTCTCATTTTTACTTTTTAAGTTTAACAAAAACTAAAGTTGGAAAAGTCTACTTTCAATTGTTAATTATTGAGATTTTTAACGTTTTGTTTTTTCTCTTTTATTGCAGAAAATTATTCGTTGGTGGACTCAGTTGGGAAACTACTGATAGTGAGTTTATTTTTTTTTTTATTATATATTTTTATTAAAGTTTTTAGAAACACTTAAATACACAAAGTAACAATACCCATCCAATAAAATTAATTTTATAATGAAATATTTGAATTTACATACGTCAAACGAAATTTTTAAAATAACTAGTATTCACTATCTAAATTAATCAAAAAAATCAATGAACAAACTAAAATTTTAATTTTATGAAATCTGTAAGTAATTTATCACGATTCAATAATACTGGAAATCAGCAATGATGAGGTTTTCTTAGGACACCTTCAGACAACAGGGTGATGTCTGTTGAATGAGACTAATTTGCGAAAAACCTGAGCAATTCATATATTTATCTATTTATAATTTTAGTCGAGAAGAGTAAAGAAAAAAATATAACTAGAGCATATTTTAAAATATTAAATATTTCTCTTTACAGAGGAATTACGAGATCATTTCGGTGCCTATGGAGATATCGAAAGTATCAATGTCAAAACAGATCCCAACACAGGAAGATCGAGAGGTTTTGCCTTCATCGTATTTTCTAAAGCTGAGTCATTGGATAAGGTACTTTACTTAATTATACATTTAACAACTATTTAATTAAATTTATAATTTACGTCAATGATGAACAACAGTTCAGTTCTGCTACTGAGTATAATTGAAGAAACTTACCACTCCTGATATTTATTTTTTAAAATCAATTTATCTTATTGACTCCAAAATTGATAATGTATTAATGAAATTTTTGATAATTTGTTATAGATCATGGCAGCGGGTGAACACGTAATTAACGGCAAAAAAGTTGATCCGAAGAAAGCTAAAGCGCGTCATGGTAAAATTTTTGTTGGTGGACTTTCGACAGAACTTTCAGATGACGATATTAAAAATTTCTTCTCTAAATTCGGCAGTGTAAGTTCAACTGCAATGATAACCAGTGTATAATTATTGTATTACTGGAAACAATATCAACTAATGTCGATTATAATTTCTATAGATTGTTGATGTTGAAATGCCATTTGATAAAACAAAGAGTCAACGAAAAGGATTCTGTTTTATCACATTTGAATCAGAACAAGTTGTAAATGAACTCCTTAAAACACCAAAACAGACGATTAATGGCAAAGAGGTATGAAAAATTGACAATATCAATGATGTTAATGTAATATAATATCAATGCAAGCAAAAAGTTAAAATGAATGTATGGGAATTTAATCATTAGGTTGATGTAAAAAAAGCGACGCCAAAACCTGACGGAATGGCAGGAATGAGAGGTGGAGCTGGTGGTCGTGGAGTACGAGGAGGCCGTGGTGGACGAGGTCGAGGATTTGGAAGTCAAGGAGGATGGGGCCAGGGTGGATACGGCGCCGGTGGTTATGGAGGTGGTTACGGCCAAGGAGGCTATGCTGGTGGATATGATGGATATAGTAGTTATGATTATTATGGCGGTGGCTACGGAGGCTACGGTGGTTACGATTATAGTGGATACGGTAAATATTCCATCTCAAATCTATAATAAAATACAAATCAATATATAACAATATAATTATTAATTTTTTTCTTTTAAATTAATAACATACAATTTCTCCAACATAATTATTTCATCACAAATTGACCAAGTGATATCATTCATTGTTATTAACTTTTCTTTTTTTAATTTAAACATGCTAATCTTTATTTTAACTGTGTTTATCAATTTTTCTAAATTTCATATAATTTTTATGCTATTCATCTCATTGAAGTTTTTGCGAGTCATAAATCCCTTCCAAGGCGTCGGTACAAAATATAAATAGCTTAAAGTTAAATTTAAAAATATTTATAATTTTTATTTTGCTAATGAAGAAAAACTACTGAATTTGTAAAAAAAATAGCCATGTATAATTTCAAAGAAGATAATTAAGTTACAAAAAAAATTAAAGTCAATGTTCTTTCATCTTTGAATTATTTTCAGGTAAGTTTTAAAGATAAAAATAAGATTGGATAAAAAACCAAGTTTTTCAATTAAAAAAAGATAAAATTAATTAACTTAAATGAATTGGTTAATCACATTTATTGAAAAAATAATTATCGTATGCAATGAATGATTTTGAACCTCCAGAATTTTTTTCTGTAATGAAGATTAATTAATGAATTAATTTTATTCTATTAACGACGAAATATTGGGTTATCGGTAATTTTCAGCCACTCCAATTAGAGGTTTTAACGATTTTAGTTTCCTTATTTTTAAAGTTTTTCCTATTGTCATAGTTTCCTATGATTGCATTCCATTTTTTACGATGTTATGGACTATTGATCAATAACAAACTACTTATAATATGTATTCATGATTTAAAATGATTAAAAATTGAGTTCAAACTTACTATTATTCTTCGGGCTTACGTCTACTTTTTCACCAATACTTTTATAAACTTTTAAAACACTTGAATTAGTTATAAAGTTACCAATTGATATCAATTTCCAGAATAAATTACAATAATACAAGAGAAGAGAATTCAACATGTACATTGGTTTTAGAATCTTCCTAATAATAATTTTCAATAACAATTATTTCTCATTCATAATTAATATAATTTAATTTATAGTTTTATTTTAAATGATGAGTGATAATTAATTTGATAATTATGTTGTACAACAATACTGACTTCAACAACTCTTGTATCGTGTGTTCCATGTAAAGGAGACGGCTATGGCTATGGCGGTAGTTACGATGGTGGCTACAATGGTGGGCGCGGTGGTGCACGCGGTAAAGGTACGCATTAGCGTTCCTTCTATTATTTAGTAATTTTCCGTTAAAATCAGCATTAAGTTTCTCCTTTCGAATTTATATTAAAATCAATATGAAACGCAGATAATAAACATCCAAAAAATCCTGAGAAAAATTTTTTAATACTTTTTTTTTGGCAATCACTTTCCCATTGTCCTCCTATTATTTATATCACATCTTTATCTTTTTATCTATTGAAAATTTTTTTCCATTAATATTATGCCAGACTCTCCGTTATTGCATGCTTCAATAATAACAAATTTGAACAAAACATTTTTTTAATTTATTTTATTCATTTATTTTTGACAAATCGTCTTAATTATCAATAATTATTAATTAAAAAATTACCTCAATGAATACAAATTTTGTTTTAAATCGATCAACAATTAATCCTTCATTTATTTTGGGTTTATATTATTTGTTATAAATTATATATATATTGTTTTTTTTAACAAAATTGTTTTTGTTATTTGTATTTTATTTGAATAGATTCTACCTAATTGGTGAGACAGAATATTATTCAAAATTTTTACATTCTAGGCTTCGAAAAAAAATAATTAATAATGCCAGATTTTTTGTTGATTGGCCTATGAAATCAACAAAAAGACATTATTATTTATAGGTACTTGTAACAGAAGAAATAAATGAATAAAATGAAAACAAAACACAAACTCACTAATCGGGACGCAGCCTACAGCTTACTACCTTAGCCTGTAGCCTCTTTGTAGTCAGTTATTAATTAATCAATCTATTCCTTGTTAATAAGTAGATGAATAGAATTAATTTAATATTAAAACATATAAATATATTCATATCTTGAGACTTGAAATAGTTTCTTTTTAACAAGTAGTTTATTAATTTGCGTGCAGTAAATTTTTTTTACAAGTCAATAAATCGATTGGTAATTTAATATTAAATCATTATCAATGTTTACTATTTAGTTTTTATGAATTAATTATTACTTTACTTAGTGTACATTTTTTATGATTTGTGTCATTATTATTTTTGACAATGTTTTTTTATTATTTTCTTTTTTATTGAATTATTTTTACATATTAATATTGAGTTAATTAATAATCAATAAATAAGTCAATAAATCGGTGGAAGGTGCAGGGGGGTGTCCAATAACTTGGACTAACAGTGCGACATGGGTGTGTTTCAGGAGGCTCAGGCTACGGCGGCAAGCAGAGGGGTGGTGGTCGCCAGAACCAAAGGCACCAACCCTATTAATGGAAATCCTTAATCGCGACCACAATGTTATTTGCATTGTAACCGCTGGTGAGTGTCCCTTACTTTTTCCTTCCGTCTTTTCTCTTCGTTCTTTCTAGTCAATTTTCGTCCTTTCATCGCTTTTTACTTTTATTTTATTTTTTTTTTACATCGTCATACATACGTTTCTATGATTTCTTCTTTTTTCCCAATCATTATTATTTATTATAGTTCATTACTTTGTACTTATATTAATTTTTGTTCATACATTCGATATTATTTATTTCAATAATCTTCAATATTCCATTTAATATAGTGCAGTCTCCATTATTTGAAATTCTTAAATGTTTTTTTGCCTTTAATTTTGTTGAAAACTTGTGATGCATTTTTCAAAAAAATTTAGATTGTGGAGGCTTCATTGTATATATTTTTTATCATATGTTTTAACTTTATTTTTAAGTAATATTTTGGTGCATTATCTTACAGGTTCTCAGTCTCACAATAAATCTCACAATTCGTCGACTCATCATTCCATGAAATCACGTCATTATCAACCAGAAATGCAACAACGCAGACAACTGCCGCAAAATAATTATAATCAAGAATCGATTCAGCAAAAGCAACCACATTCACAATCACAATATAATAATTTATCATACATGCGTTAATTATTCTCATTGATCATTTTGTTCAAAAAGTTTTTTTTATTAATTTTTTTTCTTATTTAATTAATATCGTCATTTTTGATCGAAATTTTCCTTAAAGTAATTTTGCAATGACAGAATTTGTTCAAATAATACCATAAAATCAGAATGATTTAGGAAAATATAAAAAGATGCAATTACGTCTACACAAAATATTAATAATTTATGTATTAATTTATACATATTCAAGTTTATTGGAAATGAAATATTTTCCATCATTTCGTAGTTTGCTTCTCTCTATCTTTTGTACAAAATGAATTTTATCATTCGTATTCTTTGTATTTCACTATTATTTTATACATTATTTTCATTCTTTCATTCGTATATATTAATCTCATCCTCATTATTTATCATTGAAAATACTATAGCTCATCACACTATTGTTAACATTTTGTACAAAAGACAAAAAAAAACAAAAAAATACTAATAAAATAGTAATACAAACTTAAAATGTGTAAAGTTTCGATTGTCTAGATAAATACATAAAACATTACAGTACGAAAGAAATAGAATAAATCATTTTGAATAAAAAAAATTACTAATTTTTTTAATTTATGAAATTAATTTAACTGTTTTTGTCTGTAACTTTAATTTAGGTATGTAGAAGAGGAGAATAATTGTTTTTTAAAGTAATTATGTCGTAAAGTAGCCTCTTATACTTTTTATGTGTAATATACTTACACCCAAGAACGTAAAAAGTAAGCATGGGTGGATTTGATGGAAGATATAAATACGAATGGATTTTTATCTAACTTCTTGTTTAGCAATTCTATTCATTTTAAGGATTATTTAAGTTTACTTATATGGAAAGTACAATATGTATGGTAAATAGTTACTTTCTTAATTGTAAGACCTATAATATAAAATAAAAATTCATTTTGTGTATATAAAATTGAGTATTTTAAAATTTAATTTTTTCATATTCCTTTTGGATTTATATAGATATTAATAGAAAACATAATATGATATAATAAAGATATCGATAGATAAGCTAACGAAAAAACATTAATCTAATCAGATTTAAACATATCGAGCATAAACGTTTCTTAATCACTTAGGGTTTGTTTAAAGTGTCTCAAGTGGAAAAATATAGATTTATGAAAGTATATGAACTTTTGCACACCAATTTTAGACAAATAAATAGATAGAAATGGAAAATACTTACAGGAAAAAATTCCGATCTATGGAATGAAACGAGATGTGGATGATTAGTTAAAGTATAAGGAAAATATTTGATATTAACAAATCTAAAGCGGTTTGATAGATTTCGGTCGACCACATGTTGAACGAGTGAGAGAATTAGAATATAAAAAACAATCTGTAGATTTTTAATCGCGAATATTTTCTTTATTTTTCAACCAATTGTCCTCATCTCATTTTATTCCAAAGATTGTTGCACAAATTTTCTCCTGTATTTCCCATTTTTATCTATTTATTTGTCTTAAATTAGCAAAAGTGCATTTATTTTTAGATATCTATATTTTTCTGCTTGAGGCTTCTTAAAGGATTTAATATTGAACTATCAATCACGACTCATTTTATTTGAATAAGTTATTCAAACTGATTTTACTAAAATATTTTTTTATGTTTACTACAGTGTTTTAGTAATTGAAAATTTTTTTTGGTGCTTTGATATAGTTCTAGGCATCTCCAAGATTAGTCATTGAACACAATAGAATAATAGATAAATTATGTATTGTGATTTTTTTCTTGATATAAAGAGATATGAGTTTTTTTTACATTAGATGAGATAAAGATTTTTTTTTACCAATAATGATATTTGTTACATACATGCAGTAATGATTAACTTCAATGTACAGAAGTACTTTAGTGTGACAACTTCCTTGTACTTAGGTACCTACGCAAACGATTACAGTTTATTTCATAACTAATCACGCCTTATATATTATTTAGACACTATGGAAGGTAAGATTTTTTATTGTATGATTAAAAACAGTAGAACAAGATTCAATAATCGTGTAATTTTTAACAGAAAGCAGTGCTGAGAAAATCTCTCAAATTGAAGAAGACCTCGCCGAAAAGGTTGAAATAGCAGCAAGCGAGCTTAAATTAGAATTAAATCAAACGAATAATAATCATTTGGTAATTAAAATAATTGAAGAAACAAATCAGAATGAAGAAATATTTAAGGTATCTGGTAGTAATATAACAATCGAAAAAACTTCAAATATAATGTTTTTAGACTATCAATCTCGTGGTATTCGATGTAAATTAGTTAAATTACTTTGCAAAAAATCTAACTGTGACAATTACACAGAAATCAAAGAAATAAATGTAGATCATTCTAATTTGAATGAAGAAACAAATAATTTACTTCACAATGTTGTTAAAAATAAATGTACAGACATCTTAACGATACTTATAAAATTTATTGATGATAATGAAATAGTTCTACAACACTATGGATATTACCTCAGTGATAGAAAAAAAATGACACCACTTCACTTTGCTTTAAAAAACGGCGATTCAAGAGTTATTGAAGCTTTATTGGATTATCAAACAAACATTAATGTCAAAACTATCAATGGACAAACTCCCCTTCATATTGGATGTAAATATCAAAATTTAAAAGGAATAAAAAAAATTTTGGATCTTGATCTTCCTGTGGATCTGAATGCTATTGACGACCATAGGCAAACTGCTCTTCATCTTGCTGCTGAAGCAATTAATCTAGAAATGATTAAAGCCTTACTCGAAAAAAATATAGATGTCAACACCAAAAATGATCAAGGCCAAACACCACTTCATCTAATAATTGAATCAACTAATCCAACAAAAGGAGAGATTTCGTTAGAAAATGGTGACAGTTTTCAAAATTATTCAATGAATTCAGAAATTGAGTGTATTCAAATCTTAATCGACAACAAAGCCAAGGTCAATTCTACTAATAATTATGGTGAAACACCTCTACATTTAGCAACAGCATTAAATAACTTGAGGATTGTTGAATGTCTATTGCAAAATAAAGCAAACGCTAATTTAAAGGATAATAATGGTAGAACTCCATTACATATTGGATGTTTACGTAAAGCTAGCATAGAATGTATTTCTATTTTAATAGAATACTCTACTGACATCAAATCTACTGATAATAATGGTCAGACACCACTTCATTTAGCATTAGAATCAGATAATCTACCTGCTGCAGAAATTTTACTGGAAAATAACGTTAACGTTGATTTCAAAGATAATAATGGTCGGACTCCACTTCACGTTGGTTGTAATTCTCTTGTTACGGGCATTAAAAGTGTAGAGGTATTGATAAAATACAAAGCGGATATCACATCTGTTGATAATCTTGGTAAAGTTTCCCTTCACTATGCAATCGCAGCTAATAAGCTGAATGTAGTAGAAATATTATGCGGAAACAATGTCAATATTAATGCTAAAGATAATAATGGTCAGACTCCACTTCACATTGTAAGTTCTTTACCATCGATAGATGTAAAATATATTGAAGTTCTACTTCGATACAATGCTCATATTGAATCTATTGATCATCTAAATAAAACACCTCTTCATTTAGCAGTAAGTGCAAATAAATTATCTGCTGTTGAGATATTATTAAAGAATAATGCGAATGTTAATGCAAAAGATAATGATGGTCAAACTCCTTTACATATTGCATGTCAATCACGTGAAATAAGTATTGAATGTGTACGTATATTGTTGAAATATAATGCTGACATAAAAGTTGCTGATAATCTTGGAAAAATACCTCTTCATTACGCTGTTGAGCAAAATAAATTAAAACTGATTAAAATCCTATTGAAGAAGAAAGACACAGTTAATTATAGAGATAATAATGGCCGAACCGCGTTCCATATTGGATGTTTTTCTGATCAAACTGAGTTGAAGTGCATGAAAATGTTGATAAAATATAAAGCTAACATCAAATCTATTGATAATTTCGGTAAAACATCTCTGCATTTAGCAGTGGAAGGAAATAAACCGAATATTGTAAAAAAGTTGCTAAGAAAAGCTGTCAATGCTAATGTCAAGGATAACGATGGTCGAACTCCACTACATATTGCATGTTTATTACCTAAAATAGATAAAGAGTGTATTTTACTTTTATCAACATTTAATTCTGTTATCAAAGCTATTGATGATTCTGGAAAAACTCCTCTCCATCTAGCTATAGAAGCAAATAAATTATTTGCTATTGAAATATTATTGCAAAAAGGAGCAAATGTAGATCCTAAGGATAACGATGGTAGAACTCCACTTCATATTGGATGTCATTTACGTGATACTGACATTGAATGTATTAAGATACTGATGAATCATAATGCTAGTGTAATATTTACTGATAATTCTGGTAAAACAGCACTTCATTATGCAGTGGAGGCTAATAGATTAGATATTTATAGAATTCTATTAGAAAATAATGCACATGTTAATGCTAAAGATAACAAGAGTCGGACACCACTTCACATTGGATGTTCAACGTCAAATACAGATATTGAATGTATACAAGCTTTAATAGATCATGGTGCTGATATAAAATCGGTTGATAATAATGGCAAAACACCATTACATTATGCTGTCAAAGCTAATAAATTACAGGCAGTGAAACTTTTATTAGAATATAATGCAGATGTCAATTGCAAGGATGATGATGGTAAAACGCCTCTACATTTTGGATGTCATCCGTGTGATACAGATATAGAGTGTATTCAAATGTTGATCAGTTACAATGCTGATGTTGGATGTGTTGATAATCTTGGTAAAACACCACTTCATTATGCAGTAGCAGCTAAACATTTACGTGTTGTTCAATTATTATTAGAAAACAAAGCAGAGGTCAATGTTAGAGATAATGATGGTCGAACATCATTCCATATTGGATGTTATTTACATGATAAATGTGATGAATTGATTAAAATTTTAATGCGCTTCAATCCTGATATAAATTCTGTAGATAATTTTGGTAGAACACCTTTACATTGTACAATAGCAGCACAGAATATTTCAGCTGCTAGAGTTTTATTAAAAAATAATGCTAATGTCAATGCTAAAGACATTTATGGTCAAACTCCATTACATATTGCCACGTTCATCCCAAAGAAAAATGATGAATGTGTAAAACTGATGTTAGAATATAATGCTGATATTGAATCTGCTGATTACTTTGGGAAAACTCCATTACATTATGCCATTGGAGCCAATAAGCCACAAGCTGCTAAAATTTTATTAGAAAATAATGCAAATGTTAATTCCATAGATAATAATGGCCAAACTCCACTTTCAATTGCTACAGATCCTTTGTTTGTAAGCAAAGCGTGCATACGAATTCTTCTGAAGTATGGGGCGGATTCTAGTTTTATGAATGATTATTGTTTATTAAATAACAATTAAGAATTTTTATATTTAATCCTGAGAAATCTGTATCTTAACACAATTCTTTGCTGATGTTTATTATATCTAAAGAAACTGTTTTACTAATAAATAAAAAAATGTTTCCGTTATAAATGTTTATTAGCAAAACCTGTCCTTTTGAAGAAGATTGGTCGATTATTTTAGATTATTGTATTCCCAATTAAAAGATAATATTTTTTAAAATGGTAAGAGGCATTTGTTGTAATGAAAAATCAGTGTGATGAGAGAATTACTGTTTAGTGGAAATTACTGTGTCATATCATTTAATGGAGCAATTTACAATAGTTAGTAAGTTTTTAAAACAGATATTTGCAACAATTCTTATACATATTAGGTACATTCATGTACATAACATGTATACATACCTATGATACATACTTATGTTACATTTACTGTAATTTACTGTTGTATGATACATTATATGCATTATGTACAATATATATATATGTATGTACAGTCATGTTTCTATGCGATTGTAATACAAGTCCACCATTATGCTTCTTCTCGAAGTTCTACATTCCGCCATTTCATGTGTCGCTAGCGTTCATTCATTCGGACAAGCCATAAGGAACGGAATACGCACCAATTACGTCACGATTTCAACAGAAAGCAGAGCGAAAAAGGGCTTCAGCAGTCTGTTCAAAGACATCAAGGTGAATTTTCAGAAGCATTTGTTGAATTTTGTGCTTTGTGCTGTGATCACGGTGCTCGTGCTTGAAGAAAAAGACAAAGAGGGAGAGAGAGAGAGTGATAAAGATATCGTTTCCCTTTTCAACAGACTTCAAACTGTTTTTATAATTAACTATTATTGTGAACGTTGTTATTCCTCACGTGTAAATCTAAAAACGATTTTGTCTAAGGGGAATTTAACGATTTGGTGTAAAAACATACAAAACCACTGAAGGAAATAAAATAAGTAAGTTATTCTTTATATTTCACAAGATTATTCCATGTATTTTTCTCTTTCCCGGTTTATATCAATCGATATCAATAACTAGTAAATATCTTGTTGTTTATAAATATATATATTTTTAAATTTAATTTCATTTTTTTTAATATATTTGAATTAGCATAATATAAAGTCTTTCAATGCTTCATTTGATCAAAAAGTCTATGTAACCTCTGGGGATTTTTCACGCTGGCGCGTCTAAAAATCGCCATGCTTGCGCCGGATCTTTGAGTCCTTTATTCTATTGTCCAATTAATATTGTGCTTCTTAAATTATTTTCCAATATTAAACGTTTTGTGTATGTACAATAATATTTATATTACTTTGTATGTATTTCATTTTCATTATTTGATACGTAAAAGTATGTACCGTGGTGGTTGAGTCGGCGCCGAAGGTTGAACACGAGGACACCGCGTTGTAGAACAAAAATTCGCCATGTGTATCTTGTTAATCTTCACTAACTAATTTTCATTTTTACTTTAGTGTATTCATTATGTTTTAATTTTTAGAGTTTTTTTTAACTATTTGTGGAATCGATAACCTTATTTACCTAATCTATGAAAATAACCTTATGTTCTTCCAGGCTTACAATTAATAATTTTTTTTTTTATTGCAGGAACTTTATTTTCTAAATTTACAACGTCCTATAAGATATAATTTTATTTTCACCTAAGGAAGTAAATGAGAAAGCTTTTTTAAAAACTTTTGAAAAACGAAAAAAATAAGAATTTACACTTACAAATTGAAGCTATTAGTTTTTTGAAAGGGGAATATATAACGTAGTCAATTAGGAAATGGTCATGGAGGCAACCCATTCGGCACAATCTGTAGGCCGTGAGTTTGTTCGACAATATTACACTTTGTTGAATCAAGCTCCAGCTCACCTTCACAGGTAATTCATTTTTCCAGCATGATGCAATAAATAATCTTTGATAGTATAAATAATATACAAAATTTTTTCAGATTTTACAATCATAATTCATCTTTCATTCACGGCGGTCTCAACAATGCAGATCGTGATATTCTTCCTGCAATTGGCCAAAAAGAAATTCATCAGAAAATACAACAATTAAACTTCCGAGATTGTCACACCCGTATCAGTCAAGTGGATTCTCAGGCAACTTTAGACGATGGTGTTGTTATTCAGGTAATAACTACATCTATATTTTCATTTTATCATAGTATTTTTATCTTAGTGTAATCTATTTATTATAACACAACTAGTAGATAATGATAAAATTATTTTAAAAATGTTCGAGTATATAACTTTAGACATTTAACTAATTAACTAATAAATAATTAATAAGTATTTCATAAATATAATTTTTAGGTAACAGGAGAGTTTTCCAACGCAGGCGAACCAATGCGTCGTTTTACTCAGACGTTCGTTTTGGCGTCAAGAGCACCGAAAATGTACTATGTGCTTAATGATATCTTCCGATACCAAGATTTAGGATTTCCAGATGAAGAAGAAGAGCTAGAAACAGATAATACGTTGGGTGAATCGACTGAACGTACTGAAAATGAAGAAGGACGTTCTGAGACCGAGGAAGATGATCAAGCTCATCAAAATCAGAGCGTCCAGGATCAAGGACATTCTACACATCTTCCTGGACAACCATCACCTCTCCAACCAACCCAACAACCAATTTATTACCCACCAACTAATCAACAGGTATCGTATTCATTTTAAATTATAACAAAATGTTATCATCATATCAATAATAAAACTTTTAAGTTGATGGTTTAGTCAGGGATTTTAAGACAGAATTTTATTATTCTAGATTAACCCAATGCCACCAGTAATAAATGGAAACATTCATGAAGAAACTCCTTTAATAAACCAACAACGACAGCCAATATTACCTCAACCAACTCAACCATCACAACAGTACATTGAACCTACTCAACCCGAACAGTTTACTCAGGAACCAGAAGTGGCAGTTAAAGTGGAACAACCTCAGACGCCGTTGCAGCAACAGCAACAAACTCCGCAACCACCAATTATGCAACAATCTTCACCACAGCCCTCACAAACAACACCGCCCCAACCCCCCGTACAACTACCACAACAGACACAACCCCCACAACCTCCTATACCTCAACAGCAACCAACACAACAGCCACAACAATCAGAAGACGAAAACCGTCTACCGGAAGAATCTAATGAACAACAGACATCTGAAAGCTTACCACAACCGACAACAGAGACAGAATCAGAACAAAATACTACTCCGGGTTCACATAACAGACAAAAATCATACGCCAAGACTGTCCGGTCCAGTACAATGGGTGGAAGTTGCAATCTAATGCCCAAAACATCTATGTCTCCAGTAAGTAGATAATCGGATGCTTATGAATTTTCCTCTTTTGAGATAGTATTATAGATAAAATTATTAATCATACGGTATAACAAGTTATTTTTGAAAGAATACAAGTATGATGTAATGTTGAATCATTTTTGAAAAGAAAATATTGAAAATTTATTATCGTTTATTTTTCATTGTCAACGTTTTTTCTACATTATTTGACTCACTATTATTGCGTATATTCGATAATTATTGTTTTTAATGAGATAGATATTCAAAAAAGCTCAACTATATAATAACATCAAAACTTAGAAGTACTTGAATTTTAATAAGTTAAATCATGTATTGATACATAATATAAAATTTATTCATAATCTATTTTAGACACATAAATATAAAAATATTATTTGTTTAGCCACCCGTATCGAACATTCGAAACGAAGATCGTCCAATGGACATTTGGAATCCATCCAACACGAACATCAACTCTAATACCCTATCATCTGGACAGCATCGTGTTGGAAGTAACCAAACGCCTCAGCAGCGTTCTCGAGTTGGACCCGTACAAAAAGACAATCGTGGACGTCGTGATTGGCCTGACAATCATCAGTTGTTTGTTGGAAATGTTCCACATCAAGCGACTGAAAGTGAATTAAGAGTAATCTTCGAAAGATTTGGAAAAGTTGTAGACTTGAGGATTTTCTCAAAAGGCAATGAACGTTCAAAAGGTATGCAAGGACAGAATAATATGATGCGAGTGCCTCATTACGGATTTGTGACATTTGAAGATGCAAGTGTCGTCACTAAAGTCCTAGCGGCTTGTGTGAGTATCATACTTTTATAGCTCTATTTAATTTATTTATAATATATAAATTGGAATTTATGCAATAAATATAAATTATGATTGTAGCCAATTTGCTACCCTGGTGAATCTGGACAAAAGTTGAACATTGAAGAGAAAAAAAATAAATTACGAGTTCCTGGTGACAATAATATGCGATCCAACCAAGATAATATGCGTTCATCTATCGGAGGAGTACAGCAACAACAACAGCAACAGCGTGGCCCAGGTAATTTTAATAACAAAATACTTGATTATAAAATTGTGGAAAATTTTTATTATTGAATTGATTAATTTAAATGTTTATTTCAGGTGGTCCAGGTGTAATGCGAGGTGGACAACATTCTCGAGGTGGACGAGGGTTTTCTCGTGATGGTGGAAGAGGCACAATGAGACAACCAGGCAATATGGGCAATCCTGGTTATCAAAACCGTCGCTAATTGTTACTAGTGACAACTTCTGCCTCGTACAGATTTTATATGTCAGCAAACCTACGATAACTATTCAAACATCATTTTTTTTAGATATTCGTGGTGATTTAATGACATTTAAATCTCCCATTAATCCGCGAAATGGATCTTTATATCATCATCATCTTCATAATCATCATTAATATGAACGTCATCATCGTCGAAACATCACGCCCAAACTTATGATAACGTCCGGACGAATGATTAGTAGATAATCGTCGATAATTATGTTCATTATTAAACCTAAGGCTTCAGGAAATTTTTTATCTACAATTGAATCTTTCATAAAGAATTTCATACGAATTGTTATTTATTCATTTAAAATGCGACAAATTTTGAATAATGTCCTTTGTCTATTTTTCCACTCTCTCTCTCTTTCTTACTCTTGGTTGTTTTCATTTTCTATTCTTTTTGTCGTAAAATTTCCTGGAGTCTGATTTATATTATTGAATTTTATTTTTTTTTTTCTTTAGATTAAATTACGCGACAGGTCGCAAAAATAAATCTTCAAATGTTTACAAAGTTAAAAGAAAATCGGGATTTATTTGAACATTTCCCGAATAAAATAGTTATCATGAATTTTTCAAATTCTTGTGAATTAAGTTTTTTCTCTAATTCCTAAAAAAAAATCATAAATGAATTTTTTTCGTTTTTTTTCCTGCTGTAATGTATTTTATGGACATAGGTTATTATTTAAATAATTTGTTTTATGTTTTTTCTCTGAAAGAGTCAATAAATTAATTGATAAAATTCGATTAATTAAACGAATAGAACTAATTATGGTTGAATAACACGTAGGAATTCGTTGCATCTAATAATGACTTTTTTCTAGTGAATAATGACTAAACGATTCAGAGTGTTAGTTTAATATAATTAAAGAGAAAAACAATGATAATATTCTACGGCCTTTTTTATTCGCATAACCGCATAAACACTAAAGAGTGCAAATAAATAAAAGCAGACTTGAAAATAAAATTTCACGAATATCAAATGTCCTGCTTTGTACTGCCATGTATGGTCAATCCCAAAAAACATCGATTGATCATTTAAAAAAAGAAGTAAATTACTGTTAGCTGGTTGAACTTATCATCTCTTCTTATTTCATTCTTCGATTTTATATTGTTTCGTACTTGAGAAAAATGTTCTATGTAATATAAATAACTGTGAAATATGAACTATCAATTCTTCATATACAAACCATAAGAGCAAGTTTTAAATCTCTTTGACTTATATTGTAATAAATTATAATTAACTTAAAACGTGCTGCGGTACGTTTTTTTTTTCTTTTTCTCTTTTTTTTTTTGGATGTTAATATTCAAAAGGAGAAAAAAAAAAGAAAACCGACAAATAAAAGTTGCCTGTTTTTCCAAGTAATTATTGAATGTGAATTTGTTATTTAATCCATTTCGACTAATATATACATAAATATATAAATATATCGAATACTTCAAATGTTTAAACAATGATTTTCAAATACGTTGGAAGTATTGAAACGTTTTACACTTCGATTAAATTATCTATGTACATAAATAAACATCGCATGTATATAAGCATTTTGAGATAAAGACTTTGATCATGTGCTAATTTTATTACACGTTATATACGAATGCAAGACTAGAATTTGAAGTATATTTAAAAAAAAATATTATTAGAAATATTACAACTATTAATAATTCTATAAAATAAACATTAGCAATGCCATTAATATGATGAAAAGCAATGAATTAATTGTGAAATCTCAAAGTCAATATTAAAGTATTAAAATCAGTATTTCCAACACTTACGGTTTTGATTAAAAACAAGTTTAATATATAAATTTTTATAAGACATGTTATTTTGTGTAATATGGCGGATATGATTTGGAATTTATTCAAATTAATATTTTAAGAATTTTATTTAAGAAATGATTAATATGATTAAGTAAATAAGTTTACAACTGCTCAACTTTATTTTTATGTTCATTAGTCGAAATGGGTTGATTACATTAATGATGAAATAATTATTTAATAATTGAATAACTGAAAAAAACTTATTAACGTCAACTGGATAATAATAATGAGGTATGAAACAAATAAAATTAAAAATTAAACAATGAATTTTTTTTACATTACGGCACTTTTTATTTTTAATTTATATAGTCTTTAAGTTCTTATCTTCCAGATCTAGTCGCTGTAATTCACGTACGAAAAAGCAGTTTTGAGATTAATTTAATGATTTTTGTTTTATGTTTCAAATGCACACTTATTCCTTAATTCTAATAGTTGCTTGCTTAACAATAATTTTTCATTACTTACAAGACTATTAATATTAAATATGAGAGTAAATCATATTTGCAATTAATTTTTGAACATATTTTTTAATTGAGTATCATCGTAAATGACTTTTATGATAATAAAATAAATTCCTTCCAAATGATATAAAAAGCACAAAGTAGTTGACCAACCAGATATTCGATTGGATAAAAAAAGTTTTGATGTGTTTCAAAATAATGATAATTCTAAAATGGTTGAACGTTTTGTTCAGTTTACAATTTTTAGTGTATGTTCCGTTTACATGCTATGTATTATTTTATATAACATAATTTACAGTGTTAGTTGTGAATTCTGAAACATTACCACTTATGTGTCAATTTTAGAATTAATGAACAAGCAAATAAAAAGATGCAAACACTTTATGTGTATTACAGTATGTGATGTTATTTCAGGATATAATCATTTTTTTCTGAATAAATGTTTACAACTTAAAAACAAAGAACAATAATGTAACATATGGATTAAATTTGACATAAATAAATTTAACAATAAATAATTTAAATATAAATAGCACACATTTATTTCAATGAATATAGTAACAAATTAATTAAAATTTACCAGATTTTACAGAAATTAATTTATAAGATGCTATAATAATTTGACTATCATCGAATTAGTTGAAAAAGAAGTAAGATGTCTATTTTTTGGTATCGAAATATATTCTTATCATAATAATAAACATCTGGTGACTGTTACATGAATAGAAATAGTAAAAAAAAACAATATAAACGACGAAGGCCCGAATCATTGAAAAGATATATTGGTAATCAAAAATCAATCAATATTTAGAAGTTTTGCAAGGTAATAAAAAAAACAACGACCTTTTTAATGAATTATTGATGAAGTATTTTTGAAATTTTTTTGTAGCATCTATTTGTCAATTAAATAGCTATGCTGTTTTTAAGTCAAGTATAAAAAAAACATGATTTTTAATTTAGTATTCATTTATTTTATCTCGACAAACTACTATTGACGTCGAATTAATTTTTCTAGGTCCTCTCGTGTAGATTTTGTCTATAAAAAGACGAATGTTGCTTCTAGATAAGAGTATTACACTTGTGCCTGTTGAAGACAGCATTTAATTTTATCTTTTACATACGTTTTAGAAAAAAGAAAGTTTTGAAATGTGAGTAAAAGTTTAATTACTTATAATTTAAGCTTAGTTCAATAATTTATGCATGTGATAAAATTGATCTCTTTATGTTATTTTTCTAAATCAGATTCATGTTATTAAACTTTTTTATAAAATATTTTATTTCTTAACAATTCTTCATACTCATAATAAGAATAAATCAATTATTTAAGTGCAATCAGTTATGAGAATTAAATTCTTACAAAAATAGTAGTAATTCATTTTGGAGTCAGTTTAACTCCAAAAAAATTTACATCAAAATTTATAATAAATATATTAAATGTTCTGATGCTAATATGAAACTAGTTTAAAGAGATTTTATTTGACAATAATTGATAATTTAGATTACTGCAGGAAATAAACCCTTATGATATATACTTTCGAGTATATTCAAAGATAAAGTGATTTTATTGACTTGTAACTTCATATCAAATGTATCAAACTCATTTCGATTATTAGATTGATTAAATTATAAAAAAAATATCACTGAAAAAGTAAATGAATTGAAAAAAGGTATTTACTAATAAAATCAATAACATTTTTGAAACAAATTGTTGTAAATTTTTGCTAAAATAATATTGTGTTGATAAAATATTACAATTTTTTCTTATCAGATATACTTTAAATTCGTTTTAAATAAATAATTATAGAACTGATATAACATTCAATAACTTGATGCAAATATTTTTACAAAATGCAAATTCGTTCCCCAAATAAATAAATTAAAAACCTGAATAAAAATGTAATTCTATTGTTAATCAAATATTATTAATTGAAATTTTTTGATACCAACCATATATGCACTGAATTCACTTAATAAGAAAATATAAAAGCTTTAGAAAAATGAAAGAGCTGCAGGCTGAGCTAAAGTGAAAAAGGTCAAGTATTCTAAGAATCTTGACCCAGTTCGATCCTTAAGATGTATTTCGAGGATGTAAGAAGAGTTTCATGACAGTAAAAATCAATCCAATGAATTCACCAAAAAATCTCCAGATTTATTAAGCAATTAGTTTATTCCTGCGCAAGTTTTCTTATCATGATAATTCTTCCTTTTTACCAAAATAGATAACATTAATTTAATTACGAATACACTCGCTGTGATTGTATTCTATGATCTTATTTATCTTTCCTCAATAGAACTAAATAATTTTTATTTTTAAGTAGAACTTAAAAAATTCTTTTTAATGACTATCAATATCTTATGTAAATAAATATATGCTGCATAATCATTAAGAATCACATAATAGAAAATACCTTTTAATTCTACGTTAATTAAGATCTTATTGAAGAATCTTAATACAAATACTTAAGGCCATAATTATAATGCCATGAAGATTAAATATATTTTACAAATGTTCAATTTCTGACAACTTAAATAAACAGTATTATAATTTTATGGTTGTTGAATAGATATAAAAGATATTCGTACATCGTAATTTTACTAGTTGATTGATATTCAAGTAGGCTTAATGATTTAATATCATTGCTTCTTATTTTTGTAAATTAATTCTAAATAAGAAAAATAGTTATATTTAAATTGTAATCATGAATTCATTGAAAATAATAACTAATAAACATTTAAAAATATAATTTATTAATCATTATTTTTTTCTTCTTCATTGTTTCAGATAAAAATGAAGTACTTACTGATATTATTGTGTGCCTTAGTTGTAATAACGTATGCCATACCAAGAAAAAGTATTAGAAGACATCCTAATTGTGAATATAAGAATTGCCTAGAAGGTGAAGTGAGGAATTTTACTTATCCTCCAAACTGTGCACAATATCTCGCTTGTTCAAATGGAGTTGGCACTGTTAAAGATTGCCCAAGTGGACAATTATTCAATGCTGTGAGTCTTTTTATGCTTCTTAATTAATCTTTACAAGTTGCTGCATTGTTAACAAGTTTGTTGTAAATAATAGACTAGGCAGTGATGAAACATAGATAGAATATTATATCCTATCCTTTGTTATATTTAAAACCAAGCTTTTCTGAAATAAAAGATATTTTTTTTTTGCAAATTGAAACCAATATTATGATAGTTTAAAATAATACTTTAAAGATTTACATGTGATTGAAGATTTAATTTAAATGATAATTTTAGTTAAAAAATCTTTTTTATCACAGACTACTGTTATTGTTATTAATGCAATAAAAACGGGTCCAATATATTTTTTTCTGTTTCCAAAGGGTGAATCTCAATGCGTCCTTTCATTTGGTGGAGCAGGCCAGTGTATACCCTGCGAATAAAATCAACAAATTGCAAGAATTCAGTCATACATGTAACTTGATATCTACAGTTAAAACGATGCAATTATTTACAGAAGATTATAATTATTAAAAATAATCCATACTTGTCATTGTAATACTACTTAATTAAAACCATAATATTGATATTGTATGATGGATTGTTTTAAAATAAAGAGTGTTACCATATAATTATAATTATGAAGTTCGAAAGCTGTTTTTTTGTTCAACTATTATTTGTATGTACACCTAAAAACACGATACAACAATTGAACTTCAATGAAGGACTCGACCTTTTATATCCTTTTGTGTATATGTATATCACGCCAGCAATCCAACACGCATTTCAGACGGTATCTTGATATCCCACGCACGTGCCCATTATATCATGGGTACTTCACCTGACACGTGGCAATTTTTTAGTCGATATGTGAGTGGACTTGACTCTTTGACACTGAAAATTATCATGTAATCGTTAGTACAATTTTCGAATCGGCTTACTCTGATTTATTTTAATTGGATTCGTGTTTTATTATTTATTTTTAGAAAAAAATATTTATCTCTCAAAAATTCTAGGTAGCTGATATATTTGTTTCTAAATTCAATTCAATAATAATTCACGAGAATTTCATAGTTTTTAATAAAAAAAAAATTTTACAATTGTTTCAAGTGGTGTTATTAAACTCTGTAGCATGAAAATGTCATGAGCTATTTATTTCTATTTATCGCGACATGGAATATGATTTCCCTCAAAGCACAATTGTTGATATAAATAAAATACTACAAGCTATATACAATCTATTACATTGATAAAACCACTTGGAAATAAAATAGGTAAGGTAAATGTACCAAGTGACGCTGTCCTTACTAGGGTAACCAAATAAAAATGACTTTGTTAGTGACCCTGTCTAAATATCGATATTTAATTATAAAATATTGATTATCAATACTTATTTATAATATTAACTGTAATCAATAAAAAAAAAACACCTAAATTTCATGTCTATTTGCTTCTAAATTATGTCTTATCCTATCTAACATCTTATCAACAATTCATTTCTATTTGATTTTTTAATAAACTCTTTTATTGAAGTACTTACCTTCCTATATTTATATTTAGATACTACGAAAATCGTTAATTCTCATTCTCAGAATGGAAGTTCATCCAGAATGAACCTAATTTTCTGTAAAATGGGGATGAACAGTCTCAATAAAGATACAGAGATAAAAAATAAAATGAACATGTTCTTTTTGCAAACGAGAGGTCATTGACCCTTTTTGGACCCAGCATCAAATTCCAAATGATGAATTATTTGTACGGAAGAGTGGGAAGCTTTTTTTGTGATGTTATCTATCTATCTAACCACAAGACGTCGCGACGATCGTGCTAAAACAGCGCAAGCTCAAAATACAAATATTGCAAGTCCACGCCTCCAGATAGTCGAGCTGTTCAACGAGGACCCGGTGGTGCTCTTGAGTGGGAGATTGACTCCGAGGACGCACCCCTTTGGCAGTGACGTCACGGGGTGGAAATCGATAACTACCGTGTAGTAGTTTCCCCTCTCGTGAAGGATTCTCTTTGCCACCAGACGACCCACTAAGTGCCTTCAGTGCGGGGAGGTCACCGCGACGTAAGGTACGTCGTGATCACGTCGCTCCGACGACCGGCGACGACCACAGAATTATTACGTGAAATAATAGTTTATAATTAAAATTCAAATCATTAAATAGCATTTTATAAAACGTGTGTTGAAACACTGTCAAATTTGAAGTTTGTTTAAATACTTGGTATGATGATGATAAAATTTTTCAACAAACTTGTGATTGCTCAGTGATCCCACGGTCGTCGTGGCTTCGTGATAAAATCGCTAGTTGTAACCTGCTGATCTGTAAGTCATTTTTAATCTCCATCCCTTTTTACTTGAATAATTAGTTATAAATAAGATATATGTATCAATTAACGATATATGTATATATATAGACTGCTTTGCTTAATTAACTCTTAATTACTGCCGATCCTATCAATCTTGGGTTCTGACGCGACCTTTATGAGATAGATTAGCGATATAAAGATTAATATCATATTCTGATGATGCTAGAGTTGATAAGAGTATTAACGTGAAGCGATAGCAGGTAAATTTTCAGTCGATTGCTTGCAGGAAGCATCAGAAGCAGGTCAAGCTTAAAAAATTATTAAAATAGATTGGTGTCTGATTCACCAAGAAGGGGGTTCGCGGGTTCAGCGGATCCAAAGAGTTGGGTGGAAATCAATGGCCATCAGCGCCCATGGGCGGCCTCGCGTTTAGGACAAGGAATAGCCCCTCCCAGAAGACCTCGCTACGGTGGGGTGATTGCTGCCCCCCAAATTTGAGTCCATCGGTGTCATCAGCTGTCCTTAAGGGCCGTCTTCAAGATATGCCGCCGCTGCCTGTGTGAGGTTGTCCCCCACTGTTGCGTGATTGTACCCCGCGCAGTTTACAAAGGTAATTTTCTTCCTTTATCAATCCTATACCTCCCTATTTTATAACAAAGCTCTCTCTTTGGTGGAAATTTTATTATTAGTGTTAATTGTGTCCTCATAGTTGGCCTAGAACTCGCATTCATTATCATAAGGGGATAAACCCTAGAATCAATGAATGATAAAAATATTTTTATTAAACTTCAAATATTTGAATTAAAATTATTAAGTTGTAATTTTTTTTTTTCAGTTTATAAGAAAAGCTTAAAATGATTACATTGTATCATTGAGGAATAATAATATGGCAAAATATTTTGTACAAAATTTGAATTTAAATTTATTCTTGACACTTGGGACTATTCATATAATGGTAGCTATTTCGTAAATAGAGAGACGTGAATTATGTTAGAAGTATCTGAATTTAAGATGAACTGATCGAAATTGACCTCAATCAAGTAAACTAGGTATTAAATTTCAATAAACGTTCACTTGGGGTTGCATTAATAAAGTATTCACTTGGAACATTAAGTTTTTTCTTCAATGAATGAACTCCTTGGTCAATAAATACCACTGCTATTATGTTTCTCCAACACATACTTATACTTAAAGTCATTTTAAAACATCTTTATTATCATATCTAATTTTTTTTTTTTTTTCATAGAAAGTTGTAACTTTTCTATCTCAAACTTAGAAAATTATTTTATTCCATCAAAATAAAGTTTGAAATCCTTCAAAGTCTAGAAAAGTAATAAATTTCTGGATTCATTTCTAGATTGGGTTGTTGAAGTTCGACTGTACTTTAGCTTACATCACTAGAATTTGTAAGCTGATCATCAATGACTATTTTCTTTTTTTTTTATTGATCAAAAAAACTTTTTTAATTCAAAGACATAAATAAATTGATGGTCATTAAAATATAAAATTAAAAAAAAAAACTGCATAAAAACTACCATGTATGAAAGTTGAGAGTCTTTCAAGTTCTCATGCTTCGTTACACGCCATGTTGGTTGAATTATAAATATTGATCGGGAAGTTGTTTCAAACGTTTTATTTTAAAACTGTGACTATAGTTATTTCGAAACATACTATGTTCCAACTATAGAATTAACAATAATTCTTTAATAACATGAATAATAAAACAGATAACTGAACAAAATTTTTTTTTCTTTTCGTTCAGATTTTCAAACGTTCTGCAATCAGATCGTGTACAAAACCTTCCGGATCTTCGTCTTCACGATTTGGCATTGACACCTATTGATCATACAACACCAAAAATGATAAATATCGCGGGTGTAGTATCAATTGGTCTGTTCTACGTCCTAATTTTAGGCGTAGGAATATGGGCAGCAAGAAAAAAAGAAGCGGGAAATGATTCAGAAGAAGAAGTTATGCTGGCAGGGCGTTCCATTGGTTTATTCGTGGGGATCTTCACTATGACAGCCACTTGGGTCGGTGGTGGTTACATCAACGGCACTGCTGAAATAATTTACACCAAGGGTCTAGTCTGGTGCCAAGCACCATTTGGTTATGCTCTCAGTCTAGTTTTTGGTAAATGATTTCTTCCCATCAGCATTTGATAATCAAACAATACCTCTGGCAAACTCAACTCTAGTATTTTCACAACATGTCTTTTTTGGTACACCAGGTGGAATATTCTTTGCAAACAAGATGCGTCAGCAGGGGTACATCACGATGTTGGATCCTCTCCAGGATGCATTTGGAGAGCGAATGGGTGGATTACTATTTTTACCAGCACTATGTGGTGAAGTATTCTGGGCAGCTGGAATTCTTGCAGCACTTGGTGCTACAATTGCAGTAATTATTGACATGGACCACACCCATTCGATTATATTCAGCGCCTGCATCGCAGTATTCTATACTTTATTTGGAGGACTTTATGCCGTTGCTTACACAGACGTCATTCAGTTGTTCTGCATCTTTATTGGATTGGTAACTATTGACAGACCTGACATTTATTCAATTTTTATCCATAAATCAATTTTAGATAATCCGGATTGAAAGATCTGTTCTAAAAAAAATATCATAGGAATCCTTAGGAATTCTTTAAGGCCAAAATAGTAGTAATTAAATGATCCGAAAAGTCGTGACAATATGTTCCGATTTGTTCCCCTTAGAGCGACGAAAACCTTACAAAGTCATTCACTACATTACATGTAGCTCGCGCCCTTTTCAATTTTCATACCTTTTTTTCGACTGCCATTCAAGTCCCCTTTTTGTTATGAGTTCTTACATGTCTTTCTCCTTTTCACAGTGGATGTGTATTCCCTTCGCCTGGATGAACCCTATAGTCGAGCCGTTAAGTTCAATGAATGTCGACTGGATTGGCCAAATTCCATCTGAAGAATATTGGTCTTATATAGACTATGGTCTCTTATTAGTTTTTGGTGGAATACCGTGGCAAGTGTACTTCCAACGAGTTCTGTCATCAAAGACTGCCGGCAGAGCACAACTGCTCAGCTACGTCGCCGCTGCAGGATGCATCTTGATGGCCATTCCCCCAGTCCTGATTGGTGCTATTGCCAAAGCTACTCGTAAGTGTTTATTTCTTTTGTATGAATGTTAAGGGCAAACTAGGGTCAAATATAATATTAGTTGATGATTTAAAAATAATAATGTTGTTCAGTAGAAGAGAATAGAGAAAATGCTTTCCCTTTTTACATAGAGAAAAGTGCATTGTAATCATTACTATTTTAAATGGTATACAGGTCACAGTTTCAATAGTTTTCTGAACAATTGCTTGAAAGATTGAATTGTTTCCTAGTTTTATGGCGATGAGAAGTAGATAATAGAAAGTTAATTATTTTAGGAATTTCGTGTCATGGTGGTTTAGTAATACTTACTGTGCATATTTGTTGTAAAAAAAAATAAAATAATAATTTTTTTATTAATTACATAAATGTTGCTGGAGATTGATGATATTATCAATCACTTCGAAAAAAATTCCATTTCTAAAATTTGAAATCAATAATTTATCAGGTCGAACTGACTATTAGTTGAATTAAAAAAATGCCATTGTAGTATAAAATTTTTTTATCTGCTTTTATCAATATATTTTTTGATGTTTGAATCACTGGATTATAAAAGTGAATTATTGAAAAATTGAATTAAAAAAAAATTCATGGCAAAAATGATTGCAATAACAAAATTGCTTTGAGTTAAAAAAATTCTTTTACAGTTTGAATAAATTCAACATATTTTTACTGTCAATCAAAATTTACTTACATCAAATTAAAATTAATCAGCACATATTTGATGAGATTAAAGGCATTAATCTATTTTGATAAGATTCTTTTTGCTGACAGATTTCATTAGATGTATGTCTACTGAAGTATATTCATTCCATAAAACACATTTTAAACATTTCTTCTTTCAAAGCTTTTGTAAAGTAGAATTTATCCTTGAAAATAACGACATTGAATCTTGGAATTAAAAAATCTTGTATTTAACTCCAGTTTCCCCTAAATTTCTACTTCACTTCCATCTCAATTTTTTTCCATTCGTTAAGGCACATTTTACATAAATAATTCATTTACCAACAAAAATGAAGTATTTATAAGTTATTATTCTCTGAGTTTGTTGAGCGATGAGTATCCCGTATAGCCTAGAGAGAGATTAAATTAGTCCTGGTTCACCTCCGACCCTTACAACGCTGAGGGTGAGTATTGAACTTCGCATCGTAGGCAGCTACTTGACATTTGGTGGAGCCGCTGGTGGTATTTACAATGTGAAGCGAAAAGAAAAGGATGCAACGAGGGTTGAACTTGCAAAGGGCTCCAATAGAGTGGGGTTGTAGCTTACCGCGGAATACAATACCGTGAGATCCCAACATGTGGCTTGTCTCGAGTGAGGGAGGCGTTGGTAATGCTACTCGATAGCAAACGTAAATATACAACACATCCGGAACTAATTTCAGATCTTGTATAAACATCTACATCAAGTGAAAATATTTTCGATAAAAGTTTTAGCTGTTATCATCATTAACACTATGAAAACATTCATCTCTGTTGCAGCTTGGAATGAAACTGCATATTCAGGTCCATATCCACTTGGGGAAGCTCAAACCAGTATGATTCTACCAATGGTGCTGCAGTACCTAACACCTGATTTTGTGTCATTCTTTGGTCTTGGTGCTGTGTCTGCTGCAGTCATGTCATCTGCTGATAGCAGCATCTTATCAGCCAGTTCAATGTTTGCCAGGAACATCTACAAGCTGATTTTCCGTCAAAGGGTAAGTTTTTATCAATTGTTGATCTTTCAGCAGCCTAATTAATGGCTGTGACAAATTTAGGCTTCAGAGATGGAGATAATCTGGGTGATGAGAGTAGGTATAGCCATAGTTGGTGTTTTAAGTACAATAATGGCTTTAACTATTCCATCCATCTATGGTTTATGGGCCATGTGCTCAGACTTGGTCTACGTGATCCTGTTCCCTCAGCTCCTGATGGTCGTACATTTCAAGGATTATTGCAATACTTATGGCAGCTTATCAGCATACATAATAGCACTTATGGTTAGATTATCAGGTGGCGAGTCTATGATAGGTCTTCCAGCATTGATACATTATCCAGGATTCGATGAAGTCAATCAAGTACAATTATTCCCATTCAGAACAGTAGCCATGTTGCTGTCTCTTATTACCCTTATCGGTGTGTCTTATGCGACTCAGGTGGTTTTCTTGACTGGAAGATTAGCTCCAGGTTATGACGTCTTCAGATGTGTAGTTAATATACCAGATGACGTTGAGAGGGTGGGTCCTGATCCAGTGGAAGGCGAACAAATGGCAGTTCTTGCTGCTGGAGCTGGCAGGCTTTATGGTAGTAAAGATGAATCGAACGGACGAGTCAATCCAGCGCTCGAGCCGGACTATGACATGGAACCGGACTATGGGGCAGTTGGGCCCACGGCTAACGTTGGTGGAGCTGTGATAGGTGGTGGAGGTGGGACTGCTGCTCATCCTGCACCTCATACAACTAATTCCCTTCGTCAGCCGCAGTCCAGTACTGCCTTTTAAGTTACCTGGTTCCATGATCACAAGCTGTGACCAACAATAAGTACAGTAACGCGGTCGTTTTTTATGTCTATTTTAGATTTGTTTCAACAAATCTTTTTATTTTCAGAAGTACCACTTACATAATATTTTTTTAAAGAAATATTTTATTTATTCAACTACTTCAGTACCTTTCATTTCTAAATATATTTTGATCTCTTTTCCTTCCACTCATACAAAAGTAAGTAAAGCACAATATTTAATAAAATTTATTTCTACTTTTTTATTACTAAAATAAAATGACAAATATTCAAGCCCGTAAATTTTTTCATATATTTAACTTTGAAGTAGTTTTTTTATCAAGTATTTTTAGAATAAAAAAGCTTTCTAAAAAGTTGAAAAATTGATTTGAAATTTATCTAAAAATAATAAATTTGAAGAGCAAATGTTCGAAAATGTAAGTGGTCCTTGAACTTCTCACAATAGATAATTTTTTAAGCATGTTAAATTTTTATATATACCTATTCGAAGGTAGTTCAAAATGATGCAATTAAAGTCAAAATCCAACGTACTCAAGTGTTGAATATACCTATTTAGTACTCGAGTCGTAGGATCGTGGCTTTTTCCGGTTCTCGTGACACGATGGTCCTCATCAACGTCACTATTATGGAAGATGCACATTTTTGAATGGCTTCGTTAAACTCTAAAACGTACCGCGTTGCTATTTAGGCCTAGTGATTTGGTTTGTTTTTATATTGCACAGATATTTATTAATAAATGTATATATTACAAATAAATAAACTAGTCATATATAATGTAAATTTAAATAGAATCCGAATATAAAAAATATATATGCAGTCGATCTGTTTGCCATATAATATGTTTACCTGAAAAATTACATATCATCTGACGACCCCAATAACTATTTCTTGTAATTTGAGGGTAATATTCCATGACAAACGAATTACAAAATTTAGAATTAAAAATATATTGAATCGTAAGATACGAGAGCTTTTGTATTTGCAGACTGAATGTTCTTCCCTTTGTCCAATAAATGCTTTGCACTTTTGAGGTATTGTTTAAATGTGCACATGTTAATTTATTATGACTAGTTAATGACAAATATCGTTTGTCAAAATCCAAAATCACTATCATTTTGTCATCGGATCGACTAGTGTTGCAGTTGTGTTTACAATATAGTATATTATATGATTAAAAATGTGCAAATATATACAAAGGTAAAATATATGAACAAATAAATAACTATAATTGTAAAATAGAGTATATATAAATATAAATATATTATATATATATATATATATATATTGTTGTTATACATCCATTCGTATATTGTTACTTTTAGTTGGATCATTGTGTCAATCAATCTAACAAATAATTCTCAAATGTCAATATTTATGTTTAGTTATCTATTATGTAATTTCAGATGGAAAACAAAAAATTGTATGAATCAATGTTACTAATTTAAAAGGTCCTATTTTTAAACAACTATTGTAACTATTAAATTGTTATCATGGCGTCAAGTTGTTGGTGATCTGAATGGAAGGCTTAGAGTACATAAGAAAGAAATAAGACTTTTATATTCACACGTACAGATTATTAAATATTTTTCAGTATATTTTATTGAATAAAAAAATTATATTTAATAATACACTTTATTTTATAGGTAAAATTACGTTTTTGCACAAAGAGTTATTTGATTTGGTAAGAAAATTTTATATCATGTTATTATTGAGTATTTTAGAGCTTAATTTTTTTTAAAGTTGCGTCGACTCTATTTTTTTATTTAATTTTTTTTAAAAGTATTTTAAATCAAAAATTCCCTTGCAACAAATTGTTGAATCTAATAATATTTGTAGCTTGTTGCAATAAGCAACACATATTTGTTATTTTTTTTAACAATTAATAAAAAAGAAAATGACTTATACAATTATATGATATTTGTTGAGAATCAATTAACATTTTTTCCTATCAAAAGTAATTTATAAAAACACGCTATTATTGATGCAATTTTTTAAAAAATTATGCATTACTCAATTATTAAATTACTTACCACGATAATTTAATTATTATAATTACTAAAAATAGTTAATTACCTAAAGGAAAGAATAAACTCAAACAATCTTGGTGCTGGAGAACTCAAAGTTAATAGCTCAATAAATATTGTAATTAGTAAGCAGTTAATAATCTAAGTCCTTGTAATGTCTCGATGTCATACTGAAACTTATACATATCATAAATGTGCCGATATAATTTTTTTATGTTGTTAATTAGATAATAATTATTAATAAAAGTTAATTAAAAAAAGAAAAGCTGTTGGAATAAGCAGTGGAGTAAAATGAAAAGTAGTGAATCGTTAACGAATTTAGGTAAATAAAAGTATTGAAAAAAAGAAATAATAAAAACAATTAGGAAGACGAAAAAAAAATAAGCGTAAGGTAATGAAATCTGCTTGAAAGTAGTTACTTATATTACCTTATAGTACTGAGAGCTCCTCGTGTGAAATATAAGAAAGTTGAACAAAAAAACCATGTATTATGTAGCTGTATAAACTTACATATCACACAAAGTACATATGTAATTCAAATAAATGATGTTAATAAGAATCGAAATATATTAAAACAAAAAAATAACAAATATATATTCTATAGTTAATTAATTATTAATTATAAATACGCTGTAATATAACAAATACTGGGATAAACATAAAATAAATATGATTTTATGTGTGTATTTAGATAATTATGTAGTATAATTGAACGAATGATAATAATAATTATAATTATAATAATAATAACAATGTTGATGGTAAATGTTAAAAATAAAGGGAATGTAATGACTATTTTATATTTCGTTTTATTATTCAATTTATTTGTATTAATGGATTTATTTATATTATTTTGCTTTCGTGTTCACCTGGAAGAACTTGGGTTGAGTGCTGAGTAAATGTGTGCAGTTTTAGTATTGTTTTTCGTTAAATTATATCAGAAATAGAAAGATCTTTTACTTATTCATGCGTCCCTGGTATTTGCGCCAGGCTAATCGATAAATCGACCAGACCGTCAACGTCGCTCGAGTAACCTTATCTAGTAGTTGTTTCTGTAGTTTACTAAATTTTACTATTAAAAAATTGCTTTCATGATAATTCATTATTATTCATTTTTAAATAGTTTTTTATCTCTACTTCTATTGGCTGTTTTTTATTTTATAATCCTTTGAATTTAAATTAATAAAATAAATAAAAAATTATGAATTATTTTTTTATAATGATTCTTTTAGATTTTTTATAATGGTAAAAATTATACAATAATTTATTATTATTTTGATTTAGAGTATTTTTTAATCCATTCATAATTTTGATGACCACGTCAGTAAGTCTCAGAGATTCCTGGGAGGTTTTTTTCTACTTCAAGCAAAGTTGAACAACCGGTTTCTGCATAACTTAGAAGTTAAATAGTCGCTTCTAATTAGTGAAACATAGTGAATTTGAATTGTTTGAAAAAAAAAATATCCTTGACAATGCTTCCTCGATGAAAACTTTTATTTTACCGCTGATAGAATCTCTGGGTTATTTTTAGAAGATTGGTGGAAGGAAAAAAATTGAAAAATAAATTTTAAATCAATTTTTATGGGTGGTATTTTCTGAAATATTTATTTTCTAATTTAGATCTAAGAGAGAAGTGATATAAAAATGCTGGAATGTCTTCTCCAGGTATCTAGTTACTTTTTTCGTTATTTGAATATTCAAGAAATAGAAATGAGATTCAGATAATACTTACATCGGAAGTAATTGTATGGAAAACATTGTGGATCAATATTTATGCTTTTGAACATGCTGTCAGGCAGAAAAAATAACAGACATGTTTATTTATTTAATTGAAATTCAAGTGAAAAGTTGTTTTCAGAATCGAGAAAAATGGAATATTTTACTATTTACATGGATAAATATTTATGAAGTAATTTTTTAGAAATGACTTATGGGTACTGTTAAACAATTAGTTTTAAAAAAATATCAAACAAATGAAAATTTTATTACAGCAATTTTATTAGTATAAAAAGCATTTTTACAAAATAAATAAGTTCTTAACTTTGAGATGAATACAAAAACGAATGGTTTTGATTAATTCGTATACCATAATGATATACGTAATTGAACATCAGTGTGGTTTCACATTTTTCTTGTTTTTTTTTTAATGATTAAATACTTATCAATGAATATTTATTTATATTGATTTTATGGAATATGTAGGAAATTGTATAAAAATCGTTCTTTCATGTATCGAAGCATGATGTGAAATAAATCGCATTGATCTCTTTTTAATTATCAATTAATACTTAAAGTTAGTATTGATAACCGCCGTTGCTAGCATAGCTTTGGCCACCACCGCTGGAATAACCTTGGTTGCCACCACTAGCGGGTGGACCATATTGACTGGAAGGTCTGGAAGGAGCGGAATAACCGCCGGCTGATGAACCACCGAATCCACTGCCTTGTCTATAAATCATTCAATTATATCATTAATTTCTCTCCATTTATTCTTATTTATTTTTTTCTTTCCATCTATCTTAAAGAATACTTCAATGAAATAAAAAATTCAACACTCACCCGCTGTATCCACCAGATCCACCTTGAGATGGTGCACCATATTGGGAAGAAGGTCTAGATGGGGCTCCATAAGAGCTAGAAGGAGCACCGCCAAAGCTACCACCGAAACCACCACTTGATCCACCTCCGACATTTCCTGATGGAGCACCGTAAGTGGAAGATGGTCTAGATGGTTGGAAGCTAGGAGTGGGTCTTGATGGAGCACCATAGTTTGAAGATGGTCGGTTAAATCCACCACCACTATTTCCTCCGAATGATGGAGTTCCATAAGAGGAAGATGGTCTTTGAGGAGCTCCGTACGTGCCAGATGGGGTTCCAAAATTGGTGTTTCCACCAGTGGGGGCTCCGTAGTTGGAAGAGGGTCTTTGAGGAGCTCCATAAGTTCCAGAAGGAGTTCCACCGCTAGCTCCACCTCTGTATCCACCACCAGATCCACCTTGGTTTGGTGCTCCATAAGTAGATGCAGGTCTGCCTGAACTGTAACCACCTCCGTTTCCGAAGTTAGATCCACCTCCACTTTGGTATCCAGATCCACCACCACTTTGATATCCGGATCCACCTCCGCTTTGGTATCCACCACCAGATGTTGGGGCTCCGTAGTTTGATGAAGGAACTACAGATTTTTCGATAAAATTAAATAACCATTAAATATTTTTTTTATTAAAAAGATTTTGAAGCAATTGTTTAGATAATTAATCAATTACCGTTGCTGGTTGGGGCACCGTAAGATGATGAGGGAGTATTGAAGCTACTTCCTCCAGCAGATGGCAATGCATAAGCTCCACCACTACCACCAGTAGGTGCTCCATAAGATGAAGAAGGTGCGCTAGAACCAAAACTACTTCCTCCACTGCTTGGTGCTCCATAAGAAGATGATGGTGCACTAGATCCAAAGCTGCTTCCTCCACTGCTTGGGGCTCCATAGGAAGATGATGGTGCACTTGATCCAAAGCTACTTCCTCCACTGCTTGGTGCTCCATAAGATGAAGAAGGTGCACTAGAACCAAAACTACTTCCTCCACTGCTTGGTGCTCCATAAGAAGATGATGGTGCACTTGATCCAAAGCTGCTTCCTCCACTGCTTGGTGCTCCGTAGGAAGGTGAAGGAACACTTGGGCTGAAGTTACTTACTCCAGTTGATGGAGGTCCATAGCTTGAGGGAGGTGGACCACCTGAAGTTGGAGCTCCATAGTTAGGTGATGGTGCATTTCCACTGAATCCACCTGAAGAATTAATTTAAAATATCGTTATATTTAATTTACATTTCTATGATATTAATAGTATTTTAGAAATTTTCTTATGCTAAAGAAGTCCAATTACCTCCAAAATTGCCTCCGGATGGTGGACCATATTTAGTAGCTGGTCGTCCACCAGTTGGTGCTGCATTACCACCACCGGGCCTGAAGTTAGTGCCAAGATTTGGTGTACCATAACTGGTGGATGGCGGTAAATAACTACCCGTCAGAGGTGCTAAAAAGTTGTTTTAATTTAACACAATTATTCAAATACAACTTTCACTCATTATTGCTTATTTCTACGGATTTTTGATCGTTTCTCTTTTTTTATAACACCAATTGATAATCATGTAATAAAATGATTATTGTTAAGAGATTTATTCCATTGAAATAATTGGTAAATAATGAAATCTGGTAACTTAAGGGGGAAAATAACTAAAACGTGCTGTGAGTTGATGCCATCACTTTCTTATTTCCTTTCCCCTATTCCCTCTTCTTCGCTAGTTGTGTTTATTGTCACTCTCAGCAGGTGAAAGTCCGTGGGATCATGCTCGCGTGTTTCTTTATACTTAGATGAATACGAGATGGCATTCAACGACCTTACACTTCGGCATTAATATTTTCCTCTCGTCATTGTTTCCTAAATAACCATTAGTTGTTTCAGTGATTGACGGGAGATGTAACAAATGTTTTACCACTCTATTAATTGACAGATCAAGATTATCACAGTTTATTCATGTTATTGAGCGTAAGGCTTTAAGTAATCAAACCTTGAAAGGGAGCAAATCTAAGTAGGGAATCTTAATCATTATAAGATGTTTATAATCTGTTTTATAACTGCAATATTTTTTTGACACCACTAGAATTGATGAATTAACTTAATAAGTTATAAATATTGTAACTATTTTCTCTTTATTGATTTGTGAAAACCTTTTTTAATATTTCTATCAATGGTAAAAAAATTTTGAATTAAATTATCAATCTCTCAGAATAGAAAAGTGTCATTTTATTAATAAAAGTTGTAGTAAATATTGAATAAGAGAAAATTTTCTTATGAATGAAATGTTGAACTTCAGGTTTATCTTCAAGTTAATATAATGAATTCATAAAAATGATGAATAGTTGATTAATTTTATTTCTTGAAAAATATTAAAAAAAAAAAATTATTGTTGACTTTAATTTATTTTGAATTGCAACTTTCTTAAGTTACTTAAGTTAACGGTTAAATTTAGAGAAAATTTTAAACAAATCACTAATAATGTGTGAATTATTGAAATGAAAGTTTCTTAAATCAGCCAAATCATCACTTGATGGTAAAATTTATGTATAGGATTAAATAATGCTCGTGAATAAAATGAATCTTTTAGTTCAACGACTTGGAATCAAAAAATTATTTATTCAAACAATGTTTGTAGGTCAGTCTAAAAATGAGTTGGCAATAATTTAGTATCAATTTTATTGAATTTTAAAATAAAAGTTTTCTGATAAACTGATCTAGTTTTCTAGTCGAAAAAAAATAATAAAAAATAAATTAGGAATATTTTATCTTCATCTTTAAAAGAACAATTTCAGGGTTTAGTTCTAATTTGAAACAATCCAAAAATCACAGAGAAACACCCTCAAAAATCACCTGATTAAAAAGCAGTTTATTTACCTTCAGCTAAAGTCAATGGTAAAGTAAGACTTGTAGCAATAACAGCAAGTGCCAAGTGGGCCCATTTTTTAAAAAATATCATTTTCACCACCGTTGTGATAATTCACAATACTATGAATAATCGATATTAATAATACTTAAAAAAATGAACTATCAGTATCAATAAAATACTGTCCAACGAAATAGGTATGAGTCCGCGATACTAATTTAGTTATTCACGGACCAAAGTCACGATTAGCTCTAACATGATTCAAACAACGTGGTAGCGACTTATATAGTTGACTGTCGTTTTGGAGAAAGTCATCGGAAGGTACAAGGAGGATGTGCTGTAAAGTGCTACCAAACCTAGTAGAGGTAGGGGGATTAAAGAAGAGGAACGATGGAATCTATAGTCTATACATTCGACCTCATATTAAAAAAGTAGGGGAGGAATATGCGTTTGACCCTGGCCCCAGATTTGTTCTCCATCATCTACTGATTCTGCAGTTCCTCATGTAGACATTAACCAATCTCAGTTGTCTTCTCTTTTATAAATGACTTCAATACCACTAAACAATTAAATGCTAATTTTTATTATCTAAATAAACAAAGGCTCTTTTTTTACTTGTTTAATTTAATATTGATTGATAATATTAAAAGATATGACTTGATCGTGCTGAATCAATTAGATGAGCAATTGAATGATAGTTGATGCTGATGATGGTAATGATAATAATAAGTATCATGATAATAATGATGTGGGAATATTTTTAAAAAAATGTGTCTTATTTAAATAACTTATTCTTTTATAACGTCAAGATGAAGTTGGCGGTGATATTTGTAAAGTGCCTTACAAACGATAATAAAAGACTTGGCCCAGATTTGTATTTACCATTATATTCCTCGGGTTAGGCGATTGATTGGTCATAAAAACTCATAACAATTCTGTCACGCGACTCACGAAGCGTTTAGACGTGATGTTGATGCTGAAATACAAATCCTATAAGATAGTCTTTCGACTTACGTATACCTATATTTATCTGTATGTACATCATCATAAGAATTCCGACGTTTAGATCATTGTCTAATGAGAATTTGAAACTGATGTCCATTCACTAGGCAATGATCATTTTTTTTAGCTTGAAAGGGAAATGACAGATTAGTTAAGATTCAGAATATTATGCATTCAAAAAAAAAAATTATTTTTTTTTCTATTTTTTTTGACTAGAATGTTTTTTTTAATTAAGTGATTTAATCAAGTAAAACTTTCAGTAAAAATAAATAAAAAATTGTTTAAAAAATAAATTAAATAATATTACATTAAAAATTATTGTGAAAATGAATTTTAATAAATTGCTTTTAATTACATTCGATTTTATTAATAAAAAAAATTATCTAGATTTATCTGTAATAATTTATTCTTTATTGGCATATGATTTCAAATGGCTTCAGGAGCTGTCACAAAGAGTGCCATTAAATAACAAATAATTTTATTAAAAGTCAAAGATGAGTAAAAAATGTTGAGCAGAAAAATCTTTACGTGTGTTTTTAATGACGCATTTAAATGGTTTATTGTCTCGACAGGTTTAATTGCGAGTGATAGTTGGTAGAAGCAAATGAAAAGCGAAAGTCAATGCGTCTGATGGTTGATGTTGAATGTTTGTTACGTCGAGACCCCCATTGTGAGGCCCCATCTTTGCCCCAGATAATTAATATCCGTGACCGCAGATTCTGAGATGTCGTGCCTCTATTGCTGACTGCCGTTACGGATGCTTACCTCACTTTGCTGAGCTAATTGATTTAAGGGTTTTATTATTGCAACTACATCAACATCGATTATCGAAATGTGTGGGTGGCATTACGTAAATCGCCCCGTGATGTCTCATTTTTCATTCTGATGCTTCATTGTTTTTTTATCCCTTCAATCAGTATCGGTTTTATTTATCATCACACGTCATTATAAAAAAATCATTGTGAAATAAGTAATCAAATTATTGTTATTATTAAACCATTTTTATGAACAATTATGTGCATTGGCTCAGTCAGATCATTATTAACTTTTTTTTTATTTATTCAAAAATAATAAATTTATTATTTAATGATTAATATTATCTGATTAATATCAATATAAATGAATACTACTGATTCATCTATCCAGATAATAAATTTACATAAATAAAAAGTGTTCTCGTAAAGTTATTAGATATAAAAAAAAATGCTTTTTTATATAAACTAATTTTTCAATTGCTTCAGATACAAAATAACTTCTCCATGATTTTAATTAAAAAATGGATTGAATTTTTGTGTGATTTATACACTTTGTTCTTCCATTACATCTCAATGAAAACCACCTATTGTTTACGAAGTAAATTTTTTTATTATTAAAATAACAAAATAAAATGGATGAAAGTTTGCTGAAATAATTTACCTTTTCTAGTCCTTGAAATAATTTTTTTTCCTGTAATCACTGAACAGGTATGAGCAAATATCAGTTTACAATGTAATGTTGAATTTATTTCAACTACATCTTGAAATAAAGCCAGGAAAATCGATATAATATAGTAAAATTTTAGAGTAAATTCTATTTTAATGGAAGTTAGTTTCATTAACCAAAACTTAAAAATGAGTTATCAAAGTTATTTAATTAAATGATGTTACAAAATAATAATGTTATAAACTACAAATTTTGAAATGAAGGCAACTGATATTAATTATTATAATAGCTATGATAACAGAAAAAGAATCAGAAAAATTAGAACATGATCCCAAAAAAGATGACTAGACTATCATTAATAAACCTTGAATTCAATGAATATTTTAGTATTTAATTCTTATAAAATAAAACAATCAAACAAATTAATATACTAAATTTGTTGTTCAAAAAATGCTTTTAATAAAGATATTTATAATTTCTTAAAATTACATACTATCATCTTTGAAGTAATTCTTATTTAAATGAAATATTAAATTCAATTTGATTGGAGATTATATTTTTTTAGTAAATAATAAATCAGTAAATTTGGAATTATTAGTTTTTTTTGTATAAAAAATTTTCTTTACTACAAAAATCATCTTTTATTAAAATTCAGATCATTAATATTTGTAATAAAAGAAAATTTTTTTATTAGAAATTGAAGAATATTTATCTTAAATAATAAAATCAATATTTGAAGATCTCTACATTAAAAAAAAATCTTTCTCTCAGTGAGGAATTTTCGGCGCATCATATAAAGCAAAGAAACATTAAAAGAATCCTATGCAGATTAGAGATATATGTAAATGACCACACAGTAAGTTTTATCTTCATCTTTTTCTATTATAGCACTTGGTTTTACCAAAGCCACATTTTATTTGTAAAATGTTTTAATGAATAAAGAGAAATTTCTTGACGAAATTTTAATGAATGAATATAACATTTGGTTGAAAAGATAGAAAAAGCAGGAATGAAAGTAACAGTAGAATAAAAATATGAAAAAATAAATATAGGTGAAGGCGATTTGGTACTCTAGCACATATATAAATGTATATAAATTTACGTGGTATTTATTCTACCATTTATTCTGTTTTATTTCATACTAGTCAACCAAGTTATTTAAGTGCTGCACATCACTATGAAGAATTAAGTTAATTGATGATCATTTCAGGTTTACAACATTATAGCCAGTAGATAAAAGAGATGAATAATAGCCAAGGTATCCTTTCCTATTCATTAGGAAATAATTCTTGCAGATGCTGCAAGTTAATATGCACAAGTTACTCGAGTGACGAAAGGAAAGAAATTGTTTCTCTCACTTGGTATACACTACATATACAAATTCACTCAACCAGAAATTACAATTATTGAAGAAGAAAAATATTTGTTGTGCAATTTTATTGTTGATATTAAAGTTGGAAAATTTATCTTATTATTCTCAAGACTTGATATTATTGAATAAAGTACAGGGGTAATAAATTACTAATTGATAATACTTATAACAATTTGGCATACTAATTGTTTCATAAACTTTATCATCGAGAATACTTGTTACATTCGATATTGAGTTTCTGTTAATTAAACGAATGATATTTTTATTATACCTCTCAACACTAAAACCAAGTTATTTTATCTTTTATTGTCTTGGGATGGTAATTGTAATTAAGTAAATTAGAAAAAAAGGCTAAATATGTTCTTAGAAAAAATTAATTTGCATTTTTATGGTGAATGTGATTAATTTTATCATTAGTGCTATTGGAGGTTTATATAATGTTTTAGAAATTTTTTAAATAATTTTTTTTATTGGAAATAGAACAAGTATCCCAAACTTTCCATGACCATGGAAATATCAAAATAATTGACTAGGAATGTTTTTAGCTGCTTGTTAAATATATGTAACCATGTTAATTATAGAAATGATGTACTGATTTTTAAAAAATGTTAGTTAGGTAGGTAGTAATGGGTATTCAATTTTTTATGAGTGTAAATTGGTTTTTAAAACATATCAGAGGATTAATTGAACAATTTAAGTCTAAGGAAAATATGTAATTTTGTTGCATTAGTTTTTAAAAATGATGATTATTATTTATATAAATAAGGAGTGACCGTGGTTATGGTTGTAACTTTGTTTGTAAAATTTAATTTATTTAGAGAAATTACTAGGTCGGTAAATAATGATGAAGAATTAAAATAAATACATAGATCCATTTTTTCTAATTATAAAATAGTTGCAGGCTAATGTTATTTCATTTTTCTTCATCAAAACGAAGACTTCTTTCTCTTCAATAAAAAATGAAAAATAATGTTTGAAAGATATTCTTTCTTATTTTTTAATTCAAATTCAACTTTTGGTTGTTGACAGAGAGATTTATTAGATACCAAAGAAGTTAAATTTTTCGACTGAAGTCACATTCTTCGTTTTCCGTGGAGTGCATTAATTCATTTCTATTCAGAATGAAAGTAAAATTTTGTTTAACTTTTTGGATTATAAAGAATCATTTAAATTATTTTCGACTCAATCTCAAATCTATTGAATATTAAAATGTTTTAGATTATTAAATCATCTGGAGTTTGGTGACTTTTTTTTGGTCGAAGACTGATATTGATCAGTTGCTGCAAAATATAATGAAATAATTGCAAGACATCTTAATACAAAAAAAAGGAAATGTTATGCAGTTAAAAAATAAATAGACAAAATAAAAGTGTATTTCTAACTTATGATTTATGAGTATAAAACAAAAGACAATTCACCAGAGTTATTGCATCAACTGTTTGTTATTCTCAACATGAGTAATAGT